CCCCCCCCCGCTCATTTTATTTATATTTTTTTTCTTATGGCATGCCTTGCTCCCCTACCACCATTTTTTGGGGGTTTCATTCATATAGATAAAATATTTTATTGTATATGGATCCTCGATATATCATTCGATATGAAGCAGGACAGACAGGGATAAATCGGAATTTATTGATATTCACCGGGATAAAAGGTAGGAATTTTAAGAAAAGGGGAACAATAGGGTGCGTCAAAAAAAATGAAAGTCTGAAATGTTCCGCTCCCAAGGCGGCAATCGATGACGTTTGGTAAAAAAACATGTTTGCCAAAATTTGGGCCAACTTCAATCATTTTAAATGGTGCCAAAGGTCAATTTTGTGATGAAATTATGATATTTTGGTTTAGACCTCGATTTCGTACAAAAAACTCGATTTTACGCTGAAATCATGCGTTTACGAGAAAAATGTCAAAGAACTCGACTTGTAGAGGATAAAATTTTACACTAGGAGGACGTCTTTGTAACCGATAAAAATTAAATTGAACTAGAAAAACTGAACTCTGTATTTATTTTTTTGGTCCTCAGAATTTCCGAGGTCTTACTAAGTAGAGGTTTAAAAGACTCATTTTTCACGAAAATAAGTCGAAAGAGGGTATAAATGAACTGTAGGCAAGTGTTGAGGATGCAAATGTCATCAGAACTTCCTCAGTTTCAAAAAAAGTTCCAACTATTTTGCACAATCCTCCAAAAAGTGTACGACTCGAGAAGCAGGATCGTGCTATAATAGTAGGGGGAAAGTGCGGTTTGACCGGGAAAAATTGCGTAACAAACTTTCCCTATGTAATCGTCATCAGTAGGTCCCCCTGAACAACTTCCTAAAAGTTAAAAATGGCCCGACCCCGGAATATCCCTCAAAAAAGTTAAAATTGAAAATGGCGGCCGTAATAAGAGGGTCCGGGAAATCGGTATTTTAAAATGCTCATTCTGTCTCATCATGTGAGGTATCATTTCCTATGTAATTTTGGTCGTAGATTTCATAAATAAATTTCGCAAGGCCCTCCGGCCAAAGGGGGCGCTCCAAATCAAAGATGGCGGCCAAATGTGAAAGGCAGGAGGTTGCATTTTTTTAAATATTCACCGAAGGAACAAGGAAAGTGAAGTGTCTTTATTTTCATGTATTTATGGCCAAGAAACTTAAATTTGATGTTATAAATGTATTTAATAAAGGAAATTAAAGGAAACATACGACTACCGAGAGAAACGTAAGCTCAGAAGAGGCCTTGAGGGAATTTATTTATGAAATCTACGACCAAAATTACATATGAAATGATACCTCACATGATGAGACAGAATGAGCATTTTAAAATACCGATTTCCCGGACTCTCTTATTACGGCCGCCATTTTCAATTTTAACTTTTTTGAGGGATATTCCGGGGTCGGGCCATTTTTAACTTTTAGGAAGTTGTTCAGGGGGACCTACTGATGACGATTACATAGGGAAAGTTTGTTACGCAATTTTTCCCGGTCAAACCGCACTTTCCCCCTACTAGAGTACCTATATAGCGAGAGTATGGACAGATCGTTTCATGGAGGGCTTAGGGCCCAAAAGTGCAGCCACCCTTCTAACCAACTTCTAACGCACAAAATTTCACTGCCAGTCTGCACATTCCAATTCTAACCAAGATGGCTAAGAATGTACATAAATGAGCGTTCTAACGCAAAAATGAGTAAATTTATGCAACAAGTAAGTCAAATACGTGCTTTATTAACGATGGTTCGTAACAATTGTATTAGTAAAGCGCTCTGGATAATTGAGATTCATAGGTTGGCTGCATTTCTGGGCCCTAACTTTATTCGCGGAGACATCGGTGAAGGCCTGATGGACTTTCGGAGTTTCACATCTGTCTATACTCTCGCTATACAGGTACTCTACCCCCTACTATTATAGCACGATCCTGCTTCTCGAGTCGTACACTTTTTGGAGGATTGTGCAAAATAGTTGGAACTTTTTTTGAAACTGAGGAAGTTCTGATGACATTTGCATCCTCAACACTTGCCTACAGTTCATTTATACCCTCTTTCGACTTATTTTCGTGAAAAATGAGTCTTTTAAACCTCTACTTAGTAAGACCTCGGAAATTCTGAGGACCAAAAAAATAAATACAGAGTTCAGTTTTTCTAGTTCAATTTAATTTTTATCGGTTACAAAGACGTCCTCCTAGTGTAAAATTTTATCCTCTACAAGTCGAGTTCTTTGACATTTTTCTCGTAAACGCATGATTTCAGCGTAAAATCGAGTTTTTTGTACGAAATCGAGGTCTAAACCAAAATATCATAATTTCATCACAAAATTGACCTTTGGCACCATTTAAAATGATTGAAATTGGCCCAAATTTTGGCAAACATGTTTTTTTACCAAACGTCATCGATCGCCGCCTGGGGAGCGGAACATTTCAGACTTTCATTTTTTTTGACGCACCCTAGGGGAACAATCAGTATGAAACGGGGTAGATAAGGATAAAACAGGGATAAGGATAGGTAGGGTTATCCCACCCTTCGATATATCCATCTGTGTTTATCAATCTTTGATATATTGTCCGATATGAAACAGGATGGGAAAGTGGCATAATCAATTCGAAACGGTATAGATAGAATAAATCAGGATATATATGGGTAAAATAGGATATAGATAGGGATAAAACGGGATGTATTGATATTAACCGGGATAAAAGGGATGTTTGTCGTGTTTAAAGTTTTTGCTGTGTTTGTTGTGTTTGATGCTTTTGTTGCGTTTGATAAGTTTGTTGTGCTCGTTTCTTTTCCACTCAACCCAACTATATTCTATCTTCAACTATACAGGGTATCCCCAAAGTCCGTCCCTTCCACCCCCTCTAAAATTTTACTGAATTAATATTTTGAAACAAAATTTCGGGATTGTTCAAACATCAATGTAAGCTACTTTTAGGGCCCCACAAACTTTTTGCCCTACCCCCCCCCCCCGGGGGGGAGGGGGCTACGGGCCCCAACTATTTTTTCAAATGGCAACATCCCCTTTGTGACACATCAATTCAAAGAGAATTATAAAAGAAAATTTTTAAATGGCGGCGGTCCATATGGCAACCTTGAGCGGCAAGAGAATATATTAGGCTGCTTATCGGTGAATTTGCATGAAACTTGGTATCAGGGGGCATTTCGACATATAGAAGACGAATCTGTCATTGGATTTTTGAAATTCTGAATAACTACCAAATGGCGAGGAAAATGGTGGAAACTTGGTATTACGGACGTTTACGGGTGGATTTGCATGCTGCCATTTTGAAAGTATTTGACATTTCAGAAATGCAATGCGAAAGAGTTATGTTTTGTCGAACAAAAAACCAAAAGGACCCAGAGTTTCAATCGCATCCCAACGTAAACGTCCGTAACACCAAATTTCCGTCATTTTCCAGATGCAAAATGATTGATAAGCAGAAAACTGCATTTATCCCATTTAATCTAAGTTAATCCTAATTCGTTTTCCCAGAACGTTTTTAAAAAATAGCATTTCACCAAACTAGAGAAGACTAAATTAACGTCATTTCATTTCGCCTTCAATTTCAGTGTAGGCAACAGGAGCTTCCGCGTGGTCAAATAGCGGTATTGTCGTGAAATGGCACGCTCACTCAGGCAGAACAAGCTACCATGTGGTCGAATAGTGGTACATCATCCCCGAAACAATATCGGCCTAATGCTCCTCGTTATTAAATTAATAATTTTTTGTGAAGCATCTAGACCCATGACTTACGTCACAGGCTTTCCGCTAGTCTTACATAAATAACCTGATTTTGATTAAGTAAATAAGTTTAAGTATAAAATATTTGAAGGTAAACCTCAAACTTTTCAAACAACATTACTCGGTGAAAAAAATATTCATTCAGTTTATTTCAATTTTTGCAGATGACAACTCTTGAGGGTTTCAGACTTGACGAAGATGATGAAGAGCAGCTCATTGCTGTTTTAGCTCTGCTCGGAATGGGCATCAAAACTGTTCCAGCTTCTGTTCTTCGGTTGAAATTTAACTCTGCTTCGAAAGTATTCATAGAAATTTTATGCAAATATACTGAAACGGACCACAACATAATTCTACGATCTGTTAGTATCTTTCTTATTCCACATTTTTTAGCTGCGGCGCAGTGGGAAAAAACTGACCATGGAGCAGTCAAAAATCTGGGAATGGAATGCGGAGGGAAATTCACATACTTGCTTGAAATTGCACACAGATTTCTTTGAAGATATGCTAAACTCGTGTACAAAAGATCAAGAATTTTGACCCTAGTTTTTGGCCTCAAAATGGCGGCCAAAATTCAAAATGGTGAATTGCTCAAAATCTTTGAGCTCTGCATCTCGCTCCAGAATCATAATTTGGCAAGTGCGCACGGCTTTATTGAAGGAAAGTTTTACGAAAATTTGGGCGTTGCAAGAGCAGCAGGATGACTGAAGATTTCTTTGACTGGACCACCTTTCGATGGAGATCACCGATGAACAGCTTTTTCTCATTTTCTTGATGACCCTACCTTTCTAATTTTTATTGCCCTTGCACTGATCATGACACATTTTTGTAGCCAAACACTTGATAGTCACATTAGGTAATTTGGAAAAGCTATGATACATGGCCAAATTTGGCAACTATAAATGTTCACTTCACTAAAACAGGTGTGATACGTAATGTGTCATATGAGACACAGGATTCTCAGGTAATGTTGAGAATGACTAAAATCTCCCTAAAATTGGGGGGGGGGGAATTAAGAAATACCTGCCCTCAAAAAAGAGTAGCCGAAATACAAGGTTTTATCTCTGACAGAGATTTGTTTTTTTTACTCAAGATTTTTTAATGCTACACTGAAAAGAAAGGCGTACTATTTTTAAGTAAATGCGTTGTCGCGGATTTTTTACTAATTTGAAGGCGGGTCTGCCTTGGAAGAAAACACCGGGTTTCTCAATGTAGGCATTCAGAATTGTCTTGGAACAAGAAAGTCCTATTTTGTTGAATTAAATCAACGGCATTACATGCCGAGTAAGAGGCGTAAGATGCTGTTAGCATCTGCTGAAACCAACACCATTTAAGACGGAATAAAGGAGACGTAAGTTAAAAAATCAAGATGCCCATTATATCTGTCCAAAAAAATAATTGTTGTTTAGGGAGAAATTAATTTAATGTGTCCTTGGGGAAATCACTCATATGCTTGGCTTTGACAAGAAATCAAATAAAGAAAGAAGTAAAGAAGGAGAAGAAGAGGAAAATATTTGCGTTGTGTTGAATAGATCGGCACTGTGCATTTGAAGTTTTAATTTTTATTTTTAAATGAAGGGGGCCTCATAAAGAGGACTCAAATACTTAAGTAGATTGAAGCCAGGAGTTTTTTGCATTGCATCAGTTCAGTTTCATCGAACAATGGAAGATCTCTCGCAGATAGAATTAAAAAGGGTCAAGTAAAATGCATGCTTATGCCAAGGGCCGAGGAAGAAATTAAAAAATGTGGCGAGAATCATACTTTTCAGCATGTCCTCCACCAAGTTGACAGATGAAGATAATGGAATAACTCTGCTGCTATGTAGTGTATACACTGTTCAATATCGATTTTCCGGGCCCCTTTGATTTATGGACGCGGCGATGGAGTGGATTGAAAAAAATAAAGTTTTTTCTGTATTTTTGAAAGGAATTTGCAAGTGCAAAATTGTTGATATTTAAAACTTTGATTCATTTGTGTGTGTGGAAAGAACCCCGCACAGAGCATGGAGTCAGCAGTTCTCGATGAAAGTCGATGAAACTTTAATAGATTGATATAAAGTTCATAATTAAGGGAAAGCCAAAAAATTAGCTCATCTTTGCGAGTAGAAACCGAGATATTTGCAATTGAATCCGGACCATTTTCTATCATGCTGCAGCATGGCGGAAGAATTCCGAGTCCCCTCTCCTCTCGTTGTTCGACCAGACCTCACGCCACTCACGTGAAGATAAGTGCTTATGCGCTCGGCCGGTGCGAATGCTGTACTCCCTCCCTCTCCCCGCATCTGTCAATTATTTTTCATCAACTACATTCCAGATTAAACCGGCCGGCGGCGCCGGCACGGGAGAGGTGCGAAAAGCAGGGAACTCCATATCGCACAGCCTGAACGGAGCGTCCTAATGAAAGGAGTGAGTGTAAACAGTGTGACATCGTAGTTACCTGGTGGGGAGAGGGGGTCCTTTGGCTGAAGTGCTCAAGCAAGGTAAGGCGACACGGAGAATTTACCTATGCCGCACAGAAAATAGTCCGGGTTCAATCGCGAATATCTTGGCTTCCCCTCGCAAAAGTGAGCTAATTTTTTGGCTTTCCCTTAATTATGAACTTTATATCAATCTATTAAAGTTTCATTGACTTTCATCGAGGGCCGCTGACCCCATGCTCTGTGTGGGGTTCTTTTGGGTCGAAGGGCCTGTTGGGACCGATCTTTCCACCCCCCCCCTCCTCAGTCTTGTACGGATACTCATTAGAGCTCAACGTTTTTTATGGTAATTGAAGTATTTGAACCTTTTCACCTTGTCTCCTTGCAAAATAGGGTGGATCCAGAACTTCTTTACCACCTTCCTATCAACAATGTGATTTTTTGTGAACAAAATGAGGGCTGAAACAGGCAACTTGAGGTAAAATTTGACTGGTTAGACTTACTGTGACAAGTGAGGTAGGAATCAAATGGTAATTTTGAACAACTCTCTTTGATTTTGACCGGAAGATATTGAAAAACTTTTAGTTGAGTCTGTTAGTCCCATTCAAGCCCCAAGAATAACCAAAATATGATCTTAAGGGCTCATTTCTCGTGAGAAATCAAACACCAAATAGAAACACCAGAATTCCAAATATTTGTATAGGGTTTGGTTGTGTGGTAGTTCTCGACAAAAATGACAAATTTGAGGTTCCAACTACAGAAATATCAAATTTTACCTACTTTACAATAAGTGAGAAGTGCCAAATTTTGAATATTAGCACTGAAAATCCTGAGAAATCTCTATTACACAGATAAGTAACGAATTTCCATAATATTCTTCCAGTCAAAATTAAAGAGAATTGTTCAAAATTACCATTTGATTCCTACCTCACTTGCCACAGTAAGTCTAACCAGTCAAATTTTATCTCAAGTTGCCTATTTCAGCCCTCATTTTGGCTCACAAAAAATCTGAGGATAAGTGAAAGCCAGAAATTTTGAAATTTCAGTTGAAAGATGTGTTTTAATTTAGACGTGTGTATATTTGAACCAAACATTCGATAAAATTCGTTATTTATCCATGTAAAAGTGATTTCTTAGGATTTTCAGTATTACCTATTATTCAAATTTTGGCACTACTTGCTTATCATAAAGTAGGCCAAATTTTAATATTTATGTAGTTTGAACCTCAAATATGTCATTTTTGTCGAAAAATACTACACTTTTGAGACCTTTCACGGCTATATTGATGAATTTCCGGTTTTAGGCCCAATGGGGCCAACTTAAGGCCGTTTTTGATGCTAAAATTCTATGTTTAACTTCTAAAGATGATTCTACATTGTGTTTTAGTCGCAGGATGAAAGTTTTGACGAAAGTAACCCATGAAACTATACCTCACCTGTTGGAATCTGTTAGATATACACATTCTCGCACTTAATTTGTCTCAGAATGGCCTATTTTTCAAATTTTGGCACACCCTGTGAGTTCTTTTATCGAATTTTCGACCAATAATTCGAGTTCTATGAGTAAAATTACATGGCAATTGATGCCGCACTCGCCAAATCCTAATTCTGGAGCGAGATTCAGAGCTCAGGGATTTTGAGCATTCACCATTTTGAAGTTAAAGACGGGAGTCGAAATTCCTGATCTCTGGTTTACGAGTTCAGCATATCCTCAAGAAAATCTGTGTGGAATTTCAAGGAAATGTATGCATTTCCCTCCGAGTCACAGATTTTTGATGGCCCTTTGGTCTCCTACTGTGGTGTGGGTTTAATCTGAAACTGGGTTAGGGCAGCAAGTGAATTTTAAAATGAAGCACATTATTTTCAAACGAATCCAAGCCAAACTCCGTAATCCGAAATCAAATTGATGTGCTGCCATTTTTGTTTGGCAAGGTGTGTTAAATTCGATAATTTATCAATGTTACAATTATAAAAGGCGCCTGTCAAGAACCTGCCGGGTTTGGATTTTGGTCTGCTGCAGGAAAATCATCAAGACATTGCAAGAGAGAATAAACTTTTAAGCATCAGCACATCATGATTCTTGGTCATAATAAATTGCAGGTAATTCGGTGCTGGTTATCTGCGGGCAGCTACGAATAATTATTGGAGACAATCCATTGAATAATAATTATTGGAGACAAAACGACAGGGAAAATCCATTTCTATTAAGTAATTTTCACAACTATTCTGCTACTTATGCGTACATGCAGTAAAAAAATACATATCTCATTATACTTTGTGGTAACTTCTCATTTTTATTAATTTTCAGTGTCTCACTTGTCTCTCTGTTCTACTGAGGTGCCAAGACCTAGCTGTTTGGAGCCTACCATTGACCTTACAAACATTTGATTCGATTTTGTCTTATGTCACACATTCAAAACCAAAAGTATGTATTTTCATGGTATTAAAGCATTGTTTTATGTTCATTCTGGTTCGAAATCTGAAGCTCATCGGATACCATTCTTGACACTCTTACTAATTATTTTCGGTTAATCAGCTACTCAATTTATGTGTAACCTTTCTCTCCAATCATACTGTTATTGCTGAATGTTTAAAGGAAATAAAATCTTATTTGATACCGGTGACACCCGGCCAAGTTCTCAAATGACCAAGCATTGCCTTTCAATGGGCATTGTTGATCAGGAGTTTGAAGCAGGTAAAAGGGTTTTACCTTCTTCATTCAGAACTTAGTAACCAATGCTTTGAGTATTATATCAGTTTGAAGAGTGAAATGCAGTCACATGAGCCAACTATTTAGTCCAGGAAAGATAATATTATTTGTGGCTGGATTACCGTATTGTAAGTCTACAGATAACCAGCACCTTTTTCCCGATTTCAATGCTCAAAAATCAGGGTGCGGGTTATGTGTGAAACTTACGGATCTTGCATGACTATTAGGCGCTACTTGACGATGAGATCGAAATAGACCACCGTGGGCGTGTGTAGGTTACTTGAAATTTTTTTTTTTTAATCCTCTCAACATCTGGGGTGCGGGTCATCTGCGGGCGTATACGGAGTATCTGTTCCCAAGATGCTGCGTTTCAGTTTTTAAAAAAGTGTTCAACTATTGAACAGAATCCGTACTAATATTGTTTATACCTATCGATGATGTAAAGATTCAGGTTGAGGAACCCTTTAAAACATGAATCTCAGTTTTACTCACACCAAGTTTGAAATAAATCACTTGTGTGGATTCTTTTCAAGGAGGGCAAGTAGTAAGTCATTTTAAAAGGTTCTGTTCAGATTAAGAAATTGTAAGTTGCTCACTTTGTTATTTTTTCTTTAAAATTCTGTTAAATAATTTCAGTTAATTTTTCGAATTACATATTAATTTTTGGAAATTTCAACTTTATCAACAGTTAGCATATTCTTGAAAAAATTCTACTTGGTAGAAATCAATGTTTTCTTCACATGTGCAAATGTTACATTTCTATGTGAACACCTTCTTTGATTCTGTTTCATTCAGATCCGTAAGGCTGCCCATCATGCTGTTAGTGTGGTCCTAAGGTGCTCAAAAGGTGATCATGTCAAAGAAATCTTAAGTCATCCTGCTGCTGTTGCAACGGCCAAATTCTGTATTCAACAGTTAGAGGCAACTGGCGCTCTTGGTGGCTCTTCCAGCACTCTGTATATTTTATCCTTACTCAAAGGGAATTTGCATGAATTCCCCAAAAACTACATCAAGGTTTTAATTTTTATTCCTTCTTTTCCGTTTTAGTCTGATGGAATTCGTTTCATCCTTCCTGTGTAGTGTTTGTCCCTTTACTCACTAGATTTGTAATTCAGTAGCATTTTTGCAGTTTTGTGCCCGTTTTACTTTATCAGCACTCACTTTGATGTTAGTGAAAAAGTAACTTTTTCCTACCAATTTTTCATTCGGTCCACTGACTTAATCCTTAACTACTGTTGTTTTGGACTTAAATGTCTATTGTCAGGTTTGAAAAACAACTAATTAAATAGAACGTAACCAGCAGTATAATCATGTTCCTTTTTGTTTTTGTTTCTAAAATATGACAAGTGGTTAAAAAAGAAAGTACTTACTTCTTGCGAAAAATCGGTAATAGAAAAAAAAAAAGAAGTTATTTCATAGCTACCATTGGCATTTTTGTAGCTAAATGAGGAAAAAGGTCTATTTAGAAGTTTGTAGAACAATGAAATCCACTAATTTGCACTGAAATCGGCTGGTCAAAGAGTGTAAAATCTGAGGCAGGAAGGGGGGGATGTCCAAGCTGGAAAATACAAATAAGTAAAAAAAATAAGGAGAAGAATAATATCAGGGCAGGGCACTTTCGCAGAGAAGACTTGGATATATGACCTGGCAAAAAGAAGAGTGGGCTCAAAGTGAAATGGATTAACTTTAAGAAACACAGAAAATAAAATGCACTGTCACGAAATGGAAGGCCTTGACCTGGAGTTCTGGGTCCATACAAACAACTACTTGGGTTCCAATCATAATTTCGCACAGCTGCCACAGATTCAAAATTTCCCATGAAACTGATGTATAACCAGAGAAAGTCATGGTCAAGACTACAAAATCACTGAGCACATCTATGTCCTTTTATAGCATCATTTTTCCCTAAACATCTGAGTAATGCTGTTTTTGGCATTATTTGGACTTTTTCCTAAACGGATGTAAATGCCAGTCTCAAGTCTGACTGATTTATTAAAATTCTACTACGGTTTTGAAGGTTTTAAAAATAAATTGAATATTTCAAATAATTCAAGCAAGTGCACTCTTTTGTCTTTCAAATGATCTGGGGACCCTTTTAAATTAAGACCATTCCTTTCTGAGACTTATATTTTGTTTCATTTTACAATGAATGTTTCTAATCTAAGTGTTTCTTCACAGCAAAGTTGCGAAGCAATTTTAAAAATGATGACTCTGGGCAGTTCATTAATAACCACGAACTGTCTTCAAGTTTTCTACAGTCTTTTCTCAGCAAGACCAAACCTTAATGTCATGCCTGCATCACTCAATGCCCAGCTAATCAATGCGCTTTACGATTACCAGCCTTCCACTAGTGACTCTCAGACAACTCAGGCCTGGCTTCTCGTCTTACAAGAGGGTTTTATCAACTTGTCCAAGTAAGTTTGCAGGTGATAAGGAAATTTTTAGGGGTGTCTATCACAATTTTTCGACAAATTTTGCACAAATTATGATAACAAATTCAGTAGACAAAGTTATTTCTATTTTAGTATGAGGCCTAAGAAATATTCTGAATGTAAAAATTACTCTCCAAAATGTTAAATTTTTGGGTTTTAAGACACCTACCATCTTATTCCAGTGAGAAGATATAGTAATGCGAGCACCTGATTGCAAGTTCTCAGGCCCTTCTCAAGCCCTGTGCTGGGTGTGGACGGAACGTTCTTATTAATGGTTCTTAAGGTACACATTGAACTTCCACCCAAGGACTCTCATCTTGATAACTTGGTTTCTTTTAGTCTACATTCATGGCCTCCCTTTTTTATTCTTAGACAAACTTGTAAGTTGATCATTCAATAAACTTTGTAACCGAATTCTTTTTTCTTTCAGACTAGATCTCTCAGTTTGCATGTTGAATCTTCCACGAATTTTCACCATCTGCTCAAACCTTTGGCTCACAAATAACGAAGGCATTTGTCAGTCGGCAACGCTTACATTAAAAAGTGTAATTGATGAATGCATTGCCCTTGCAATGTCAACCTTGGAAAATGCTCAAAAATTCAATCTTATCATTGAAAAGGTTTTCACCATTCTCCAAAATGGGTTGAGACTCCAATTTCAGAATGTCTGGAAGTCAGTTCTTCGCCTTTTGAACCTTATGTATAAGGTAAAATTTGTTGGTTTTAAATTTTGTTTGGTTTTGTTGGCTTTCTTTTATTTTTTCTTTTTTAAGCCAACAATGTCAGAAAGGAAGATAAATAACTGAATGATTCTATACTGAAGATGCTCAAACCAATTTTTTAAAATTTTTCTACCTATAGGTTTTCAAAAATTCTAAAATGTTTAGTTCCCTTTTTGTTTCTTGTCACCCTACATGAACATCGATAGTTTTAATAAAATGTCCTCACATAATAACAAGAGCACTAAATGATAAAAATTCAATAGCAAGTTTATTAAGATTTGTAAGCAGTCCTTAACTTTTTTCATTAGCAATTTCGTCAAGTTGGTCCTTCTATCATCGCATTGCCGCTGGCTAATCAACCAGGTCATATTTATTAGTTTTTTGTTTGTTGCTTCTACCAAGAATGGTCATGAACCTTGTCGCTTCTGCAATTTGTTCTTTTTATCCTGCTAAATGGTTGGAAAAGTATCAATTGATTTATTGAACCGATCTGTAAAAACTTTAAGTAGACATAACCTGAAAGTAGGGCTAGGAAATCACTCGTAATGATGCTTCACAGTTGCTACATTTTTCAGTTTTTTTTTTTTCATAATATCCATGCTCCTTTGGAACTTTTAAGCTAAAACGAGCTAATTGGCAATCTCTAGTGTCAGAGGAAATATTTCATCTTAATTTATCAGTGATCTCTCCCTCTTTTCATTTTAGGTTTGTGGGAAGCACTGCTCATCATTTTTGTTGCCATACCTAAAAACTTTGGCAGAATTAAGGGATGCTGATGAGTCCAATTATGCTCTTGAAATAGAAAATGTAATTGGCAGTGCTGTGTTTTCTATGGGGCCAGAACGAGTTCTGGAAGTAGTTCCTCTGCAAGTAAGTAAGCTTTCTATTCACTCTCATGAGTCTATTGCTTACTAGAAACTAGAGATACTGCCAAATGAGGCAACGTATGACAGAGAAATTTGCAGTAAAATCTCATTGATCATATCAGAAGTAAAAGAATTAGGATGCACATCATACTGCCATGCTAAGGAAGAATGTTGTATGAACCAAAAAATTTTTTTTGAGTTAGACATGGAATTAGACTAAGTGAAGTATGCTCTGTTCAGTGGTGAAGTCAGAAAAGGCGTATCTTCATCAGTTTTAGAGATATAGAGGGGGGTGCTTGCCTGTCCCGCATAGTGGCGAGATAGCAACGATCGATTGCCGTGTGTCCAGGAAACTCTGGACGCGGGTGGCACTCACGGTTTTTTCCCCATGCTTTGTGGACACACGGCACTCGCCATGTGCAGCGCTCGCGAATTCCCGGACTTACGGCGAGGTTTGGCCGTTTGCCACCCCTACCACCAACCCTATAATCCGATTTCAGGGTTCCAATAATGCATGCGCTGATTAATTGCGATCTCTTATGCTGTTTGTCATCTGCTGGTAGCATGTGATTCGTTTCCGGATAGATACGCATTCCCTTTTTGTTATCATTTTCGTACAAAATGTTTCCGGGTGCAAGTTCTACCTTATTCTTTTAAGAATTAGAAACTAAGATTTTGCCGAGAAATGTTTACAGTATATTATTTTATGTTTGAAGACGATTAATGATACCTTGAACAATTATTTTTTTTTTTTATGGTCAATTCTTCAATTTTGTTTTCCTTCTTTATTTATGTTCAAACAAAATGAGAAAGGGAGAATTCAAACGCCGATACAAACGCGCTACATTGTTAAGTACATTAGTTAAGTTCTTAATTTTTTTAATTGGATTGGTTCCTCTGCTTATCTTACTTGATTCTAAAAAGGGCATCATATTATCTGCTAAATTTGCATAAATTCTTGGCATTTTGAAACCATCAATTTTATTCAACGATCTTTCTCTACATTGTCAGTGGAAAATTTTATAAATTCTTTTTAAATTTTAAACAAGTTCTTACGTTAAATTTTCCTTTTATATTTTTGAAGTTTAGATGTCATAAGTAAGTAAATCAAGTTATTTGAAAAGCTAGCCTCGTAATGAAAAAAATAATTTGATGAATGCGGAATAGTTTCCTCAAGATAGAAAGTAAAAAAAGAGAGAAAAACAAAGGTTGCAAAGAGAAAGAAAGGATTTTATTTTTTACTAAAATCAGGAAACTACTAACCACTAACATCATTTTTTTTCGTGCAGAACTTACTGTCTCCATTTAAGGCCAACTTCCAATTTAACATGCCCCTTATTCAAATAAGAAACATACAAATAAAACAGAAAAATATGAAGCTTCCGATTCAGTTGCAGTTACTTTTGTATTGTCTTTCCTTTTTAATTTTTATTTCAATTTTTAAAATAACTCTACACCTTAAAAACACGGACGGTTAATGATCTTGGTTGTAGGTAAAATGATTCCTGCAAAAATAAACCTCACAGAAATGAAAGAGGTGAAATCCCTATACCGCAGCCGGCAGCGTTGGAAACGCGTCCTCTGCACTAGGATGGACACACGGCAAAATCGGCACAGTGAAAGGACCCTGCCTGCACAGGCAGTTTGCCGTGAGTCCAACATACCCTCATTCTTTTGTGATTTTCCGGGAAGTCATTATTTTCTTGCAAATGATCTAAGCGCTAATGAACAGCCAATGGATCAAGCTGCCAATAGGAGAAAACGAAAACTTAAAATTCGTAAACCTCGCGGAGAGGCATGCCGTAGACTTTTAACGTAAATATCTCAGTTTGAATCCGTTCCTACGGCGTTCTTTCTTAGCACGGCAGCATACCTTGCATGGCTTGTTCCAAAAGGCATTCAGTTATTCATGAATGCATAGCTTGGATGCATTTAGGCTGATGCTTGCCCATCATCAGCAATATCAAAATTATCAAAATGAAATCAATATTTTCATTAGATATCATCACGGCTTATTATAACCACGGAGGTGGTTTGGTATGGACATACGCGGAGGGTGGTTGAAAGTTGGTTGCCAAAACAGGTGTTTGATCGGGTACCGAAAAGAAGAAGGTGGCATGGATGTCCAGTGAAAAGTTGGCAACAGGAAGTGGAGCAAGAGATCCAAAAAGTGTCATTTCAGTCTCAGTTGAGAGTCGCAGAGCACTCCAGTGCACTGAGTTAGCAGCTTTTATAGTAAATAGCAAATATTTTCAGTAAAAATAGAGGTAACCAAACAAGCACAGCATTTTAAGAGATTTGCACGAACTGAGAGTGGAACATTACCCACCAAGCAAAAGACTTACGGTGGGAAAGATTTGAAAAAGCACAAAAAATATTTGAAAAAGCACTTTTTAATACAAGATGTTAGGAAGCTGGATTCCATTGAGCACCGTCCATCTGATTTCAATACTCTTCTGGATCTATAAAGCCGTTTTATCCATACATCTGAAATGTCTAAAATTCATTCTGTAACACCTAACATACAAAGTTCATACCTAGTATTTTCAAATTTACTGTACCTGCAGACACTCAAAATGAATGAAAACTTAGCCTAAAGAAACAAACCATCTAGTAAACTTTCTTGAATCTTTCTCATTGATCATTTTAATTGTTCCGAGGGATTATTTTTTCTCCTTATTCAGATCAAAATGGAAAATCTAATCCCTTAAATTCTTTGAATTCACATGGGAAGACAATGCGACAGTTGGTAAGATTGTTTGTTTACTCTGACTTGAGTTTTTAACACCTCTCAACTGGCTCATCTTATTGCTGGTGACTAGGAAAATGTGCCTGCAAGTGCGGTAAATTTTAAAATAAGTAGTATGGGCCACATGCACATTGCGTATTAAGAAATGCACTAAAGACATTCCTGATGTGATCGGAGTGGTTTTTGTGCTGTGGATCACCAGATTTTGTACATATTTAAGCATTCCGAAACATGTTTCTACATCAGAATTTTACTTAGAATGTGATTCCTGCATCGAAAATCAATTATCTTACTATTACTGAATATTTTTACTAACGTTTTTATTTTACATTGGCTGTGAGAAATTTGAACTGCCTGATCTTAAGAAATGTAATACTCCTTGTGAGTCAAATCGTGTCTTACAATGGTACTGACAGGCCTCTCAATCGAGCATTGTTCCTCTCTCACCCTTAATTGCTCAAAGTGTAAACAATTTGCTGTAACTAAGCCTAATCGTCAAGATCGAGGTTGTCATATTTTCGTATTGCAGAGACTGCATTGGTAGAAGAAGTAGGTTCCCTCCTAGATCAGTGCAGATGGTGAGGAACGTTGATATGATTGTGTAGTGATATGATTGTTTAGTGATATGATTTCAAGGTAAGGTATCCTCATAGAACAGTGTCCCATAGTGTGTCTGATACATTAGTCCTGTAGTGTATCCTGTTGGTGCAAAACCACCACCTAATATTTCGCTGGTGGGACTCAAATTACCACCAACTGAGAAATAGGGTAGAGCGTTTTTGGGTTTTTTTTGTTCTTTTGGAAACGGACACAGCAAATTGGCGAAATGGTTTAAGAAGAACGCCTGAATTTTCCTGAATGTTTTGGTCAACATTTGGACCACTCGGATAGACGTTGAAGTCAAACTTTACGGAAAATTCAGGTTTTTTGATGATAACATGATGACAATGACAAATACAACACGCACGCGACCAAAGTTGTAGGAAATTAAATTTCCATCAAAAAACTTATTTATCGTTTTATCTCTCAGTGCAAGCGTTTTAGTGTAAAATTCGAGAAACTCTCATTTTTCCAAAGATTTGGTACAATTCCTTGTTCGGTCCAGGAGAAATACGGAAGAGAGAGGGCTTACTCAGAACAAATTGCATAACAGACTTTTCCTTCAAGAATACCATCATTACGTTGACCTAAAAAACGCAAATTATACAAAAAGTTTGCCACGGTTCGATCGCGGAATACCCCTTAAAATGCCTAAAATTATAAAAGGCAACCTTGTTCTAAATGCAAAGGATTAAGATACTTTAAAATATGCATCTAGTGTAGTGTGAAGTGTCAATTTCTCAGTCCTTTTGGTCGTGAATTTCTATTATAGTTTTAAAAAAAAGCTCCTAGTTAAACAGGGTGCACCAAATTCAGGATGGCGGCCACCTTTGAACGGCAAGAAGGTAACTTTGAAGTTTGATTGAAATAAATTTTAAATTGAAAGTATGGTATTGATTTCTGTATATGATATTGGTCAAGCAGTTTAATGAGATGTTCAAGAGTTATTTTTCTCCTATAAGACCTTTCATAAGACCTGATGAATGACGCCTGGTCAGTAGGGCTGCGCAAAACTCACAATCCTGGACGAATCCAAAGATACAAGGGTTCAAAATGGCGAGATGATCTAAGTGATGATTTTAGTGAATGGGGATAACTTTGGTTGTAAATTTCGAATGTGAGGTAGAAAATATCCTCCAGTTAAGCGAGTTCTCCCAAGCACAAGATATATGACGTCTAAATTGGAAGAATAAAATTGTCAATTTTAAAGTGTGATCATATAACATCTTTGAAAGTAAGGTACTTATCATATTTCAGCGTTATAAGTATCAGTTTAGAAGTTTTATTACAGGTTCACAATTAATTTTACTCTTCAATAAGACCTGAAATCAAGGATGGTGCTCATAGGAGCAACTAATGAAACGACATTTTATATTAGTGTACAATTCCAAGAGAGACTGCTGAATAAGCGATCTTTACAACACGGAGTTATTTCAAAAAGAAAAAGAAATGAAAGTATGGAAACATTGATGATTCACACTACTGCATATTCTTCAGTATAATTTCAGCAAAAAGTAGCCGTCAGCTTTTGAGTTTAAAGAATTCCCACGATTCTCACGTGACCTGGTGTGCTTCATTCTTAAATCGAATATAAGAAGGTAGAAGGACTTGGTTCCCCGGGAAATAAACGTATTCAATCGTGGATACTACGCAGAAATCGGTATCTTACATTCGGAGATATAATATAATCAAGTTTCTTAAATGGACAAATTAATGCCAAAAGGAACTGTGTTGCTCGCTAATCCCATTCCCATAATTCCTTATAGCATATATACCTCCGATTTACACCGCTGGCTTTTAAATTTGACCGTTATCATGGACTCTGGCAACCCTGTTTCACTATTCATTTTCCACTTCATTCTTTACTTCACATTTTACCAACATTTCACAGGGAATGATACTTCACTTCACTCATTGCATCAGTATTTAACTTATTTCAATCCTCGTACCCTTCAAACTAGGCATCCTTTTTGAGTTTTGGGCAACTCCATTAATCAGGCTGTACTCATCACCTCATAATTGAAATCTACAATCAAAATTACAGTGAAACTACTAACGCACGAATCTCGGTTTGCGATGTTCCAGGCTTCCTGTCATACTTTATTTTTGAATGGAGCTCTACTGAACATCAACTCAAAGACTTCTGTGATTTATCCTCTTTGTGCTAAGCAAACTCTGAAGAAAAAACTGCTAGAAGTAGTGTTTCTTCGTCCTCCCTTAAAAAATTTAAATAGAATTGGAGATTTTCAAAAACGGCTAACGAGATACGTAGCTTGGGAGTTTTGAAGTCGATATTCCACTGGGTGTAACAATGAAGTGGCGACTAACTTCCAGGGGATGTTCTACGGCTCAAAACAAACAGCAAAGTCCGGTACCTAAATCCTCTAAGATGCGTGGTTCTCGAGTCACGGGGAGTTCAATGTTTGAAAAAAATACCGTATGTGCTTGGTTATAACGTCACATTGGCTATCCTAATTTTCTGAACCCAAAAACAATTGTGGTTCTGTAAAGATCTCATCAAGAGCTTAAAAAAGGTTTTTTTTTTTTTTTTTTTTTTTATATATATAAAACCCCTCCTAGTGGAGTTATTGACAGCTAAGAAAAATCCTGTTCTATCGTACGTCCTGACCCACTTTATTTGTGACGTACAATAATAGGGTATATATTTTTTTTTCTCATTAGGAGGGGTTTTTTTAAAAAAAAAAAAAAAGAAGAACCCTTTTTTAAGCTTTTGATGAGTACTTTATGGAGCCACAATTGTTTTTGGGTTCCAACAATTAGGATAGCCACTGTGACGTCATAACCAAACACATACATTATTTTTTTTCAAAAATTGAACTCCCCATGACTGGAGGACCACGCATTTCAGAGGAATTTGGTAAAAGACTTTTCTGTTTGTTTTGAACTGTAGAGCAACCCCTGAAAGTTTGTCACCATTTAGTTGTTACACCCTGTATAATGAACTGATACCTCACTTTACATATCACGTCCAAATGAGAATTTGACAAATAAACCCTCCCGCTGTTCAAAGTTGGCCGCCATCCTGGATTTGGTGCACCCTGTTTAACCAGGAGCTTTTTTTTTGACACATATTTGAAATTCATGACTAAAAGGACTGAGGAAATGACACCTCACACTACATTAGATGCATATTTTAAAGTATCTTAGTCCTTTACAATTAGAACGTCGCCTTTTATAATTTTAGACATTTTAAGGGGTATTCCACGATCAAACCAAGGCAATTTTTTTGTATATTTTGCGTTATTCAGGTGAATGTAATGATGGTATTCTTGTAGAAAACGTCTGTTATGCGATTTGTTCTGAGTAAGCCCTCTCTCTTCCGTATTTCTCCTGGACTGAACAAGGAATTGTACCAAATCTATGAAAAAATGAGAGTTTCTCGAATTTTACACTAAAACGCTTGCACTGAGAGATAAAACGTTAAATAAATTTTTTGATTGAGACTTAATTTCCTACAACTTTGGTCTCTACATTTTTGTCGTATTTGCCATCGTTGTTATGTTTTCATTGAAAAACCTGAATTTTCCGTAAAGATTGACTTCAACGTCAATCCGAGTGGTCCAAATGTTGACCAAAACATTCAGGAAAATTCAGGTGTTCTTTTCAAATCATTTCGCCAATTTCGTGCTATGTCCGTTTTCAAAAGAACAAAAAAAACTCAAAAACGCTCCATCCCACTGAGAGACCTGCAAAGCCAATGTCAATTAGTCAAAGTGGCTTACTGAGGAAGGATGGTGAAATGAATGCAGTATAAGCAGCGCTTAAAATCCCTTGTCAAGGGACGTGGCTGAACTATACACTCTACCAGAGGAAGGTGAAAAACATCCATGGTGCCCCAAAATCTGCTGATCCCAGCTCTCTCATGTGGTACCAACAACAGACCCAGCCAAATGAAAGTCAATGTGGGAATAATTTCAACTATGTATAATTTCTGTATCTAATTGTATTTCCTGCAGATAACGCTGAAAGACAAGAAACATGAGTTTAAACGATCTTGGCTCCTACCTGTTCTAAAAGCTTGTATCCAAGAATCCACGCTCCAATGTTTCCATGACTATTTTATGCCCTTGGCAACTATTTGCAGGTGAGTGATGCTTTTTTTAGGGACTGTTGCCCTGACATACAGTAAAACTTTATCGTAACGGTGTTAAGACGTTTTAACATCGACGTTTGCCCCACAAAACTTTTTACCTACATGCAATTATATCTAAACGTTACTTGAGTGACATGTCACTTAATTTTTGGTTCAGTTCCCTTTTTCAGTTCATAATTAATTGTACCTTTCAACTAATTTGGTAACAATTCAAATCAGCTTAACTGGAGATGACAACACTTGCATAGATTTTGAGTAATTTGATAGCGAGGCCTGAGAATAAACATTATCATAAGAGGTCGTATGATTTTTTCAAAGAAATACAAAGAGAAAATCAGGACATAGAAATGATGATCAGCAAAATAAAGCTAGCGTAGTTATTAAGTGAGACTAGTGAAGTACCTGCAGCAGAAAAAACATTCCAAACTCAACGCAAGACTTCAACTGAAAAATAATCATTAAGTGAAAGCGTGAGTTTTTTAAATTTTTCAAAATTTTTAATTCAGCAGCTTTTACTGTTTATGATAATTTTGATCGTTTTATTAAAACTTCAAGTGATAACATCTCCTCAGGTATGACAAATTCAAATGTACTAATAAACTCAGTTTAAGGTTAAGGAATATGCAGGTAAGGTACCCTAAAAGTATGGCTCCGATCTTGAGCTGTAGAGCTAATAGTCTGAATTAATTTGTTATTATTATTTATTTTTCTTGTTTCCTTTTAGTGTGTAGGTAAAACTGCATGTATATAAAATGGCTTGTACCTATGGCGTTATGTAGATAAAATTTCAAGTAGTAAAATCATGTGAGTAAAGTCATGTTGGTTAAATGTTATAGACCAAATGTTGTGGGTCAAATGTGCTGTAACAGTTGTAATGACCTTTGAATCAAGGGTGATTTTCATTGTTCTAAAAAAAATCTCTGTCAAGGTAAAGGTAAATGATGTAGGAACAAGCTTTGCTTTTACATTGCACTATGCAATAGCCAATGTCTTTGAAACGTGCCTTTTATCTTAAGTTACGAATTTGTGTAAAATATACATAGAATGATAATGTGTAGCTGCATTAATATTAAGTACATAACTTCAAAGAAATGGACCAAGTTCATCAGAAAGGAACCAACCCACATTTTTGAAAAAATTGAGTTACGGCTGTTTTTGAGTTCTGCTAGCTATATATTTTCTTCTGCCAAGAATCTATTTTTGTCAATGTATATTTATTTGTTACATTAAGTTATTTTGTGCCTATTACATTGGTAGAGGATTACTATGTTAATTTAAATTTCCAGGAACCATTCTCTAAAAATGCGGGAGCTCAAGGATGAAATAGGGTATGTGACATATGATCACCTTCAAGTTCAGATATGGGCTCTCCTTCCCAGTTTTTGCAAATCTCCAACTGATGTTGCCGATACTTTTCCAGTAAGAACTTTTTCTTTTCTTTTTGTGTTATCAATTTAAACGTTTCCAAAGTAGTGAAAGCTCAATGTTCAGTTAAATATGGTTTTCACGGAGAACCTTTTTGCACCTCAAAAAAATCACATATAGATCATTGTTTCTAGCACCAAGTCTACCAGATATACATGACGAAACTAGTGCACTGTAGTGGAGGAACATTTTCACGAATTTTTTAAGGAAGAAAAAAAAATAACTGCCTAAAATCACACCTAAAAAAGAGTTGAACTTCCTTCCACCACTGAGGTAACTATTTTTCAAAGCTCAAAAATGAGATCGTATAACGGCCTTCCAACTAGAGTTGCCACTGTTATCTTTTGTAATTGTTTTTGCCAACTTGACAATGCCATGATCACAGGACATTATAGAACAAGACTTTGATAACCTTGAGCCATGATTATCAAGGAGAGAGGGAAAGATTTTGAGATTTTTTCCATGTTTTAGGTTTATTCACTTCATTCTGTGTAATGTTTAAATTTTTTCCATTGATTTCTGGCTCCTTGCTCTACTTTTTAACAGTCACCATTATCACTGTTAGAAGAAATGTCCAAGAATACTCTTGGTGATCTTGAAAAATTCTCAGGAATTTTCAAAACAGTGTTTGCCGGTTTATGAAACAATTTGCGGTTAATAGGTTGTCTCGCCAAAAAGTAATTTTGTCCTGCGGAGAACTTGCCCACAGTTACATGCAGCAATTCAGTGTCGTGTATACCCATCAAAGCCGTTCAGTTTACCAAACTGATGCATTGTCCATGATAAGTATGCAACGTATATCCATGTATGTGGTTTTTCTAAAGACTCATGAATTTTGGAGATGAACTTTTTAAAATTGCTTTCCAATGCAGAATTATGATGTGAGCAACTACAAACTGTACAATGTATATATGGGTACCTTAGAATACAAGGAATCAGAGGAGCCATTCTCCAGAAAAACCTTGTTTATGGAGCCATACGCACTTATCCAAAAGAATAACTCAATTTCATTTCTCACCCTCTGAATAGCAATGCAATTAGATAAATAGTTGAACCAACAGATACCTCCAGCTTTTTTATACATTATTAATTTTAGTTTGTAGTCTCTAAGTTTCATGGTCAGAATCTACAGGTTTTCTTTTTCTTTTTTAAATTATGAATTTTTGAAAATATGCATTCCTTTTACTTGTTTGCTTTATTCAACTCACAAAACCTGCATCTCACCAATCATTTACTTTTTTCTTCCAGAAATTAGCTAAAGTACTCGGAATAACCTTAACCAACCAGAAGGATTTACGACATAGTATATTGCAAGCTTTGCGTAGATTGATCATTTCATGCGAGACAAATGAAGTGAATAAAGAGGTCATAGCTAAATTTGCTAAAAACTATTTGCCAATATTATTCAACATTTATACAACTAAACCAGAAGGCAGTGATGAAGAAGGAATTAGACATGCTACATTATCAACCATTGAGGTAAGAGATTCCTCATCTCGTTTGGAAGCCTAGCCACTGTTTCTCATTCTTTTATCTAGCTGCAGACTTTTCAGCCATATTTCTAATTGCAATGTCACAATTAGACTACATTTTGCAATTAGGAACCATAATTTCTGTCTCAGTTCAGAATCAACGTATGCACTATTAGTTTCTCTGTGCTTATAAATGTTTTTACCAATGAGCCAGAAGCAGGCCTGTTGCAAAATTTTGCTGGAGCAAAAATAAGAATTATTTCTAATAGAAAATGTTTCCAAAATCATGATGAGCGCATTGGCAAATTCTGAAATGCACCCCTAACTCTACCATCTGTGTAAGAAATTTACGTCTCTTAGAGCTTCCCGCTTCTAAAATGATACTACGGCACAGGTGAACATTTTGTGAGAGAAGTCGTTCCATTCAACCCTTGCTCAATTGAATTTTTGCAGTATTCATGATGGCCGACGCTTTCGCCCATAAGTCAAGAAGCTCACAGAGTCAATCAAGGTGGATATATCTGAACAGCCTCAACTTGAGAAAAATGTGAATGTAAACACGTAAATGTTATCAGGTGGTTAGGATCTCGTCTTGTCTTTAAGTGTTTTGGCGGATTGGCGTTGGTCATGTTGAATATTGAGTAGCATCCTATTGAGTAGAAGTTAAATGAAACAACTTCTGTAACAAATTATTCACCTGTGCCGTAGTATCGTTTTTGAAGCGGGAAGTTAAAAAAACGCCAATTTCTTACGCAGATCGTGAAGTTATAAGTGCATTTCAGACTTTGCCGATGCGCTTATCATGATTTTTGAGACATTTCTATTTAGAAACACTCTTATTTTTGCTCTAGCAAAAGTCTGCAATCGGCCCATTGTCCTTCTAAATTGCAAAATGTTGTCCCATTATACCAATTCATGTGCGTTGGCTCAATTATAGAAAAGAAAATGAGTGTTGATAATCATGTGGTAACCAGTGAGTGATTTTGAACTTGATCATTCTTTATTTGCATCAGAGTAATTATAGGACTAAGTTGCAAATGAAAAAAAACTTAAAAATTTTAATCACCGATTCAATCCTGGTCTTGAGCAGAGATGTGAAATTTTACGAAGTTTTTTGAAACTTTGTCAATAGCCCTGATAGCACAAAAATATTTGAAAAATATTTTACCAGAATGTTAACCTATCCGTGTACCATGCGCCCTCTATCAACGAATAACAGCACTACTTACTTCTGTATACTCAGCGCACTCTGTCAAGTAGATTTGGAAGTACAAGAAAAGACTGTCATTTTCATAGTTCTGCACATGTATTACATTTGAATTATGAATTATACTAGTATTGAATGTTATAAACCACGAACTTGAGGTCTTGCATGAGAGTGTTGCGTTTAGTAGCTTAAAATACCCGGACACCCTCGTGCGAACTTGAATCTGAGCTGTGCAAGTGATAGCCCAGAACCCTGCCACTGAGCCACAGGGAACTGATGGTGATGCGGGCTACAATCACGCCTGTTATAGCATGCGTTGCGTCAGTGCGCGGCTCGACTTTCATCCTAGCATTGATCAACGCCGTGTTTTCGTAGGCTTCTTTTTTGGTTTTATTTTCCTGTTATTTTTTTTTTTCAATATCTCGTAACAAGTACTTACACTAAATGTATACTAATGTAAATTGCACCACTTAATAACTTAAAATAAAAACTTAAAAATATTTTCAAAATATATTTTTAAAATAATTCAGAAATATTGTTTGTAAATATTTTTCAAAACTTTTTTAATTAATGTTTTAAAAATGTTAACAGATAATATTTTTGAACTATTTCAAAAATATGTATTCAAAATATTCTAATTACAGTAAAAGCTCGTTACGACGAAAATTGAATGGACCGATAAAAATTTCGTCCCAAGTGGCTTTTCGTCTTAACCGTTCTCCGCTTAAGACTGAATTTTTCGGCATAAGCGGTAATAGCGCTTATGACAAAATTTTTCGGCGTAAGATTTAAGATTTAGTTGAAAGTCATCTTAGTGTGAACAGTGAAAGAGAGGATGAAAACAGTGCCAGTGAAGAAAATGATGTCCAACCAATGTGTGTCGCGGAGGCTCAAAAATCACTGGACAAACTTAGGACATTCTCCAGTCAAAATGACGTGGACGATACAGTTTTCAATAGCCTCCAAAATTTGGAAGCCGTTCTAATATCCGGACAGCTTTTAAAATCCACACAAACTAAAATTAAAGATTATTTTAAGTGAATGAATTTTTGAAAGATTATTATCTATCAGTTTTAAATTTTTAAATTTTATACAATACAAAATCCAAATTTTGAATTTTTTGAAAATACGCAAATCGGTTTATTGTCAACTGTCGATTGCATCTCACTCATCCAGCAAAACAGAGGATACCCACGATCTACTCTCAATCTACTCTTTTTATGTCAAGTTACGTAAAACCAAGTCTATTTTCCCTAAGAATTGGCTCTTTTATGTCGTTTTTACCCGCAATTTCAGGGGAGAAAATCGGAAATTTTTCTGCGTCTTAACCGGCTTTGGTTAAGGGTCAAAATTTCGAAATTTTGTCTTATCCGTATTTTTTTTACATTGACTTATGGAAGTTTCAAGGGACCGAAAAAAATTTTGTCTTAAGCGGATTTTTATCTTAACCGTTTGTCGTCTTAACGAGCTTTTACTGTATAATATTTTGACGAAGGTGACAATATTTTCAAACAAATTTTCAAAATAGTTTGTGCTAACTGGGAAACTGCGGAGGCTATAGAACTTCTAAGAATAAAAAAAGTAAAGACTCAATTTTAAAATTTAAAGGGTAAAAAAATAAATGATGCCAAGTCAATCCTCTGATTTCTTTGTCAAATTCTTGGTATTTTTTTGTATTTTGCCAACTTGTTCAACTTCCAAAAATTCCACATTTTATGAAATTTCTGTTAAATATTGGATCTTTATCTCAATCAATAGTACGGCTGAAACTGATGCCAAGTGGCTCTTCTTTCAGCTGATATATAGCGCTAAGATCACTGGTCTTAGAGCTCATCAAAATTTACCTTTTTTCTCTTTGAATTTGCTTTAGTTCAACTCAATTTTCCAGACCTTGCTAATTGCCTGAAGTATTGTTGCCATTTTTTTTGTCCAGTGCCTTCCCATTAATATTTTATGTTTAACAGCACTGAATTAGTTGTACACCTAGCAAGATTTTGCAAGAGTTCAGTTCTGGTTGCTGGCCTCTAATTTCCTCTAACCAGGGTCTTGGGGTGAGGTATTATAAGAAAGATTTTCCCTCATCGGCGATAGTTGGATTGGAGGCATGTTGCGCCTACCCAACCATTGTCACCTCTATTTTTAGAGGCATAGACCGGGCATTGTTGCCTGAGCGTACGCTCAATGCTCCATCATTGTCTTTTTCAGTCAATCCAGGAGCCCTCAAGCCAAAACTAGAAAGGCATATTGAGCTTATGGTTTTGATAGTCTCTCACAGTACTTTTATTTTTAGACAGGAAGGTGGGTAAACCAAGCCGGCCGGCGCTCAAAGAAGGGGAGGGAAGGAGGGATTGAATGAGGGTTGTAGGTTGGTCGCAAAATTACCTCGGCATCTCTTCGTTGCCAAGTGAGACAGGACAAATGCGTGAAATTCAGGTTGATTCAAATCACCCCTCAGAAAATCTTAATAAAAACATTTTAGGCCAAAATGATATCACAAACAAAATTTCATATCATCAAGTATAACGCAGGCTGTCCAAAATCAAATAACATAATATTGTATTTGCTCTCTGGATGCAACAATATATTACAGAAAAACACAAGAAGAATTATCGAAAAATGGTATCGCTACCCATCTACCACCCTGCACTCTTACCAATGGTAATCAGCATTGGTGCAAGCAGCATCGTAAACGGCTGGAATTGCAACACTGGGGTGCGAGCACCGCCACCTTCGCCAGAACCTGGGCTTGAATCTTCCCTAGGATATTCTGAATTCAGAATTCTAAGGATCAAAATAATTAGACAAAATGTAACTGTTCACTGGCTGGGGATATAAGTAGCAGTAAGGAATACTCCCACTAGATCTGTCAAATTCTAAGTCGCTTGCAGCTAGGAATACCACTCTTTCATAATTCTTTTATCTAATCAATAGTAAGAAACAAACATGTTTCTAATGCTCACCGTGCTTCTCCACATCCTTACCAACTTAGTTTTAGAAAATTTGGCACCTAGAGTTCAGCTGATCTATCCTATCTTGCTATTAGTGCTCACTACGATCTTATTTTGAATGAAGTTCGTATGTCTCACTTGTGAGGAAAATTCAAAATCATTTCTTGGAAAAGCTGAGAACAGAGCACCTACTTGCAACAGATTTTGATCCACCAGGAACGTATCAGTGTGCTTTAATGGTCAGTATTTTAAGTCCAGTATATCCTATGGCATATTTGAAGTCAAAGTTTTTAAAATTGGTCCAATTTTTTACATTGTGGAGGGAAGGGGAATAATAATGTATTAAATACCCCTCATAGTTATCAAAAATGTACTTCCCTCATCTTTAGACTCTTGATTTTTTGACAGGAACTCTTTCACATGTAATGAATCCTTTCTTGTCACTCCGCAGATTGCAGGTCTATTCCATTTAATCTCTTTTTTTTTTTTTATTTCTCCTCTAATAGGTTTACCTAAAGTTGGCAAACAAACAACTAGTATCAGAACTCTTTTCAAACATGATGTCAAAGGTCACCTCAGAGGAAGTGGCAAAAGACAGTTTTTTGAAGCTCTCTCTGCTGGATTTATTACGAGTCCTGGCACCCTGTCTTGAATGTCCTAACATTAACGAACTACTCCAATTCACCGTCTCAAAAATGTCCACTATCAAAAGTAATTCTGAGCAAAAGAAGCACTTCAGGTATCTTGTCCATTGTTTTCTCTTTACCTCCTAAAATGTGAGCTTCATGATTTAATTTTTTATGTTTTCAGTATTTTATTAGAGCGGTCAACAAGCTAGGGCTTCAATTGTGTTAACATATTGAAAGTTTTTAGTCCTCGTTTCCACTTTTTGATATGAATCACTTACATGTCTTATTCTGATGATTGTAAGATGAGAGTGGCCCTAATTAGTCCTTTCTCATAATATCTTGCTTATGAATCTTTGCCAGAAGTGTATTCATCAGAGTTGGTTTTTAGGAAGTTATTCACTCCTGATGAGCCTCAGCGAGTGTCTTACAATTCCCCTTCCATAACCCAATTAAATATTCAGGCTTGCAAGGTACGGTACCCCAAGGTTTCAGGATTTTTAATTAATCAAAAACCTAAATCGCAGAAAAAAATAATAATATTTATCAGAGATGAAGTTTATTACAGACACCCATTAAACTTTGATGGAAGACCTGACTTTCCAAGTCAGGTTCTTACCTTGCCCTCCCCAAAGGAAGCAGGCAGGGCTTTGGAATGGCTTGATGGAATTTAAATCCCTCGGGTCGATCCTATTATCCTTTCCCAAGTCCTCCTTTTTGTATGGTCTAAGACTACTGAAATGTAAGCCTACACGGTTCGTTTTAAAAAAATTTAATTTTTCTGAAGACCACCCGCGATTTTTTTTGATAAAAGTGTCAAGAAAGGTCTCTAGATTGAGGAATTGAAGGCCGCAAAATCGTAAGTGGGGCCGTTTTTTTTTATTTTCGACTTTTTCTATTTTTAAGGGTAAAATGGCTGCAAAAGCCAATGTGTGACCACCAAAACCCACCGCCATCTGGTCAAATTAAGTTAAAATTCTATGTATGTTAGTCGTTGACATGTAAATGGGTGTCCTCAAAAGTTTCAAACCCTTCATCAAAGAATTGCACCCCCTCATGCGGTGTTGCCAAGTTACGTATCCGATAATAACGCGGCTGACAGGGCGATGTAGATTTTGAATTGACATCATCACCAAAAATCATGAAAACACTTACCGTTATACACTGTGTGGATAATTTTAGATCCAATTCGATAAAAGCGTGGGCAGTTGCCATATTTCGGTTTTTTAAAATTGCAAAATTTGGCCAGAAAATGTCAATTTTTTTATTTGATTAAAACCAGTAAATGCTTATTTTTCAGCGATATTATAAATTGATAGACTATTAATTGAAGAATTTTTACACACAACGAGACATTGTCAGAGTCACTGTACTTCAATTAAGGTCGAACGTAGCTGATCTATGAAAATAAGTACACACAAATTGACGAGCGGATTTCGTTCGAAAATAATTCCCGATGTTATTGTTCCTGACCTAAAGCGTGACATTTGGATCCCCCCCTCCTTAATATCCATAGAAAAATGAGGAAAAATAGTTTTTAATTCACGAGTAAGTAGTAAACACGAACCGTTTAGAGATTTTATTGATGTTCGCAAAGAATTGAAGCCCCGATCTCTTAAAGTCCAACTTTTAAGAGAAAAAACTTAAAGGTTCACAAATGATAAAAGCGTGTTTTATCTAATTGTTCCAGATTTCGAAAAATTGAAAGTAACAGCAAAAATTTTGTAGTGTGGGAAATGAAGTTTAGAGGCTCGTGGCCGAGATAGGTTTGCTTGTTCATTCCTGTGTATTAATTGTGTGTGCGATTTTTTGAGGTTCTAAGAATTTGCTTCGGAATCAAAGAGTAAAATTTGAACAATTTTTCACTCACATTTTGCGAAGAGAAGAAAAGATAACTCCTATCTTATTTAGTATGTAAAAAGAGTACACCCATGTCAAATCTAGACCGCCCAAGATTCATCTCCCGTGCGGAAGGCATTTTTGTTGCTGCTTAAAAGTTTTTGGCGAACCTGCACATAGGACGAAAAGTACCTTTTTCATTGATGAATCTGGAAATTCCTTTAAAAGAAATTAAAGCTCCGTATTTTGATTATGTCGCTGAAAAATAAGCATTTACTGGTTTTAATGAAATAAAAAAATTGACATTTTCTGGCCAAATTTTGCAATTTTAAAAAACCGAAATATGGCAACTGCCCACGCTTTTATCGAATTGGATCTAAAATTATCCACACAGTGTATAACGGTAAGTGTTTTCATGATTTTTGGTGATGATGTCAATTCAAAATCTACATCGCCTCGTCAGCCGCGTTATTATCGGATACGTAACTTGGCAACACCGCATGAGGGGGTGCAATTCTTTGATGAAGGGTTTGAAACTTTTGAGGACACCCATTTACATGTCAACGACTAACATACATAGAATTTTAACTTAATTTGACCAGATGGCGGTGGGTTTTGGTGGTCACACATTGGCTTTTGCAGCCATTTTACCCTTAAAAATAGAAAAAGTCGAAAATAAAAAAAAACGGCCCCACTTACGATTTTGCGGCCTTCAATTCCTCAATCTAGAGACCTTTCTTGACACTTTTATCAAAAAAAATCGCGGGTGGTCTTCAGAAAAATTAAATTTTTTTAAAATGAACCGTGCCTAGCTTGGTTGCTCTGAGAAACCACGTAGGTGATGCTTCTTCATGTCTACCTGTATTTCAGGGCGCTTTTCATAAGCCCTTGAAAATTATCATGAAAATCACCCCTTGGAATGATATGGAGCCTTCGGTATATTTACCTCTTTCTCAGGACAAGGTCTCATCAACATAAACTTTCAAAGCATCTACTTAAAGGAGCAATCTTCTCCTCCAATGAATTTGCCTCTTAACCTGACCATCCCAAGGTTGGGTAAACCATAGCATTCACCCCCATCCTAGGTTAGGAATAGTAGATCACATATAGACACCTTTCATATGTATTCTTTTTATAGCATTTTGACCCATTTTGTAAATCATATTGATGCCCTAAAAAACTTACTGAGGTAGCTGAGGTGGCATATTGAAGCTTTATAGAGCTTTAAGGGTATGAAAACGAATGAATGAAGTACAAAATAAATAATAAAATCAATATTTGTTTTAAGACAGTATGAGGTTTCATTTTTGAGAATTTCGCTCCAGAATGAGAGAAGAAACAGATGATTTGGCTCCTTTAGTAAACAAATCAGCATGCACTGGGTTGTAAATCAGTTTGACTTGCAGCCCATATCACTAAAAGGCGCAACATGCCCTCTTCCATATAAATTAGGGCAGCATGCGGTTGCAAAGATAAAATCCAGCTGAATCTGTGTTGAAAAATACTAGGATTTAGGCCTTGGAAGACAGTTTGCAGAGCTTGAATATTCTTAATCCTGAAACTGAACAAGCTAATGTCACAACAATTTTATAGAATAGCTTCCAGAGGATGAAAATTATCTTCATTGATACAAAAATGTAAATCAAAATAGGCTCTTCGTGGATTTAGGCTTTATAAAAAGTAATTTGAGTTAAAAGATCTGAATTTAATAACTTGTTACTTCTTCCTAGGATATTGGAGGAAATTTGTGGTGCAGAAACTGTAGGGCCTGTTGAATTCAAAAAACAAAACACCGCTGCTGTAAAAAATATTTTGGTTCAGTATCTAACTAAATCCACTGCAGAATCCAGCCGAGGGGTAAGTGATAATCATTATTATTTTCTGAATGTAGATCTTCCTCATGAGTTTCAGAATAAGTCACTACGTTGCACTGGCAAAATGTAATACCTCAAGAAGAAAAACAACACCTTCAACCATCTGGGTTATTAGTTCCCCACCACTACCACTCAGTGGCATGTAAATATGTGCATACAAGGTGTCCCAGACCACCCATACCCATGCCTTTTTCTTGGTTTGCTTAGGTTGCTCGAAGTCAGGGACGGCAGGGTTGAATGAGGAATTGACCCCAAGAAATCCCGAAACCGCTCCAGTTTCCCTTGAGGGCTGAAAAGGGGGGATCACGATCCTAAAAGTCGGGGTTTCAGATAGAATTGCGATTCAGTTGCATTAAAATTGAAAAGTACGACATTCTTCTGCAGTCAGGGGGGTTGTTGTAGTGGTCCCTAATTCAAACTACCCTCCATCCATCCTCTACGTCGGAACCTAGGTGGAGGGGGAAAGGGAGAGATACCAACGCACCCCGGTAGGGGCGTGGAGTAGGCATCAAAATTTTAAGTTTACTGTAGACCTTGTCTCCACAGGACGTTTTTGTAAGATTTGAGGGGCTTGGAGGACAAGATGCATAAGTCATTACCTTCCGACCAAAGTATCACAAGCACCATGCTACATTTAAAAATTTCTGTCGCCATTTTATTTTTTGTAGAGATTATGATGGTTGAATCTGTTTGAAAATTTCACTGAATTTTATCGGCAGCACTAAAAAAATTTTGTGAAATTTTCGGACAGTTTCGTTGAACAATTTCTCTATAAGAAAATGAAATGGCAGGTAAAATTTCCAAACGTCGCATGGCGCTTGTGATAGATATACCTTGGCTGGTAGTTGATGAAGTGCAGTTTTTGCATGAGCTCAACAAACTCATGTAAAAATTTTGCAACTAAAATTTAACTATAAAGCATTAAGAAGTGAGATTATACTTTCTTTCTGCCATAAAGCTATGTAATTTTGAAACTTCAAAAACGTATTTCTTGAAATGACAGGAACTACACTTATGCGCCTTGTCCTCCAAGTCTTTAATTTGTCCTGGGGTCGAATTCAGGGAATGAAATTCCGAAGATTTTTGTTAGTTACTGTCTCCATAGGACAGGGCTCTCACATTCCTGCGACAAGTTTGCGCAGGAAAATAAATATAAACTAGTAGCAACCGGGTATTTGACTGGCATCAGGATCGTAATTGAACAAAATGAACAATAGAAAAAACATGGACAACGTTGTAAACAACAAAATATCACACAACCTGCTTTCACTTCTTCCTCTCTCATGTGGTCCTAGATCTCTGCAAGGTATGGTCCGGATTAAACTTGGTAATGTGAATAATATTGAATTAGTGAATATTTTTCACAACTTCGCTAGTGAGACTTTTCCTAGGGACAAATCTTATGAAAACGTCCCATGGATACAATGCCTTAAGCACTACCCTTTCTAAACTGTAATTTGTAGTTTCCTTCTTAAGTTTCTAATCTGTGAACCTCATATCATGATGTTAATTTGCTGTTCTACAGGCAAGACTGAGATGTTTCCTTCACCTGCTTCCATATGGTACAACTAAAGAAGAACTCGTGACAATTATTCCAGAAATTGTATCTTGTTGCAAGGACAAAAACACCCATTGTCGAAAATCTGCACATACCCTGATTACAGAGGTCTATGCAAAATTTGATGAAAGAGTCAGAAATGAAAACTCAGAACTGAACCAGGAAGATACCATGAAAATGTTCATCGAAATTCTCTCAGCTGGCCTAGCTGGATCAAATGAGATGGTCTCTGCAACTTTAGTAGCCTTCTCATGCTTGGTTTTTAAATTCAAAGGTAACAATTATGTATCAACATAAAATAATTGTATAGAAAGAGCATTGTGAAAAACCTCATACTTATTCACAGGTGAACCCCGTTAAATTAAAACTGCTCAAGTTGAGAGCCCTGCTAATTTTTAAAAATGCACTGGTCCTGTTTTTTCATCAATCTATGCTATATTCAACCACATGGAGACAACAGAGACCTCTTGGATCAAAGGAAACGGCGGCAATTGTAGATGGGAGCATGTTAGAAGGGCTTTTTGGCGTTTTGACACAATTCAAAAGAATCGTTATTTCGCACAGTTTGGACAAATATTTTTAGCACAATTCAAAGGAATTGTTACTTTCACAATTCATGAGCTGAGTTTTTCTCAGTCTGAGTGTCTGAGGGCCGAATTTGAATACTAGACTTATTGCAGTATTTAGCGAAGTACTTCTTTTGCAGCAAAGACAAAAAGAATCTACTTATTTAATTATTTTTTTCTTTGGGGGGGGGGGGGGGGGTAGGAAATAGATTGATATTTTTCAAACTCCTGTATCTTCTTTTTCATTCTTCTCTAATTACATCGGGGTCACCATTTTGTTGAGCCTTCGGCCAACAATAAGAAGACAACAATACGATATTTTCCCAGCTTCAGCAGTCCTAAACTTGATCAGAAAAAGTGACCATACCAGATTTACAAGATCTTACAGAAGAAATGGACAAGTATCTTTCTGATATGTTAGTTTTCTACGTTTTTTATCGATAAAACCCAAGAATAGGCTATATACAGGTAACTTCCTCTGTAAGTCAAACTTATTTGAGGTCCTGTCGAATTTGTCATAAGAACTAAAAGCCCTCTAAGTGGAGCTAACAATCTCGTCCCTATGCAGTTTGACTTAGAGGTAGTTAACTACACCATTGCATCTGTGTGTTAGAAAATGAGCAGTTTCCTTTCATAGGAAAAGGGTTTGGGATATCAAAATGAAAATTTGGAAACACAAGAGTAGGTGCTTCCAACTTATCGTGTTTGCATTTCCCACTTGTTTTACTTCATTTTTCTCTCTTGTGATTTCATTTATGCATTCCTGATAATGTAGTGTGCTGTTGAGACACACGTTCCCAAAAAATTTGCCACTAAGGATGTAAAAAAGCAGTCAATTCCTGCCTTCAAAGTGAAATCAAAAACTTTTGTCTTGCCGGCCACAGGTAGCCTTAGATTTAAAAGTGAGAGTGTTGAGACCCAGGGAAGGACTAAGTCAGGAACTGAGAAAGTTCTTCAAAATTAGCATAAACTCTTATGTCAGTAATTAAAATTGATTCTTAACTCGCTCATTTTTCAGCCTCCCTAGAGTCAAGGTTGATTTAGTGAAACTAATTTTTTTAGTGATGGGATGAACTACTTTTAAGTGTCATTAGCTCCTCACTATACCAAAAACTCATTATTCATAACATTGTAAATTCGTAATTTACCACAATGTTACATTATTTAACACGTTCCCTGGCAAAAAGTAGCTCCCTTAGACCTAGGAACATCCTCCAAGTTTCAAATCTCTATCTCAATTAGGTAAAAAGTTAGATGGGGAGGGTAGGGGACTTTCCTAACTCCCTGTATAGAAATCTACTTACCCCTCTCTTCCCTACGCGCCTGACCCGTCTCCAGAGAAAGAATGGACCAAGTGATTAACCATTTCACCGTCATGCTAGGATTCGTCCAATTTTCAAAAAAAATTGTTTCGCGTGTACTTAGCAATTTTTTCCTTACTCTTCCCTAAAACACGAATTAAAGAGGTCTAATTCGTAAAAATCGGCTGAATAGAAGAGAAGTTACAGTATTTGAAATCCGAAGAAATCAACAAAACCTCGACTTCTCTATACGAAAAATAAAATGAAGGGGAAAAAAAGAAATGTATAAATTACAATTATATGTAATTGACCTCAGAATTTGACAAGCAATTCAATTATACAGGGTGTTCGAAAAGTCCCCTCCCCCCCCCTCTAACTTTTGACCTAATTGAGGTAAAGATTTGAAACTTGGAGGATGTTCCTAGATCAAAGGGAGCTACTTTTTGACCCCCCTAAAATTTTGGGGGTCCCATTTTGGGGGGGTTACGGACCCTAACTTTTAATTTTCAAATGGGAAGACCCCCTTTGTGATACCTCGTTCGAAAGAGCATAAAATAAGAAAATTTTTCGCGCAAACCGGAAGTCATTATCTCAAACCGTTTCAAAATGGCGGCCGGTCAAAGTTCCAAATGGCCGAAAATTGGCACCTCTGCTGTTTGCACATGGATTTGCTTGAAACTCGGTACCTACGGGTATTTCGGCACGAGAAAAACGAATTTAACGTTAGATTTTCAAAAAATCCCTAATTTTTCAAAATGGCGACCGGTTTAGGCTCAAAAAGGCCGAAAATTTGACAAACTCGATTTTTTTGCCAATGGATTCACCTGAAATTCGGTATCTGGGGGTATTTTGACCCGAGAATAACGAATTCAACGTTTGATTTTGAAAAAAAAACCTTAATTTTTCAAAATGGCCGCCGATTAAAGTTCAAAATGGTCAAGAATTGGCAACCTCGACTTTTTGCCGATAGATTCGCCTCAAACTCGGTGTTTGAGGGTATCTGGATGGGAGACAAACAAATTCGACGTTATTTCACCGAGTTTCAGGCGAATCTATTGGCAAAAAGTCGAGGTTGCCAATTCTTGACCATTTTGAACTTTAATCGGCGGCCATTTTGAAAAATTAAGGTTTTTTTTTCAAAATCAAACGTTGAATTCGTTATTCTCGGGTCAAAATACCCCCAGATACCGAATTTCAGGTGAATCCATTGGCAAAAAAATCGAGTTTGTCAAATTTTCGGCCTTTTTGAGCCTAAACCGGTCGCCATTTTGAAAAATTAGGGATTTTTTGAAAATCTAACGTTAAATTCGTTTTTCTCGTGCCGAAATACCCGTAGGTACCGAGTTTCAAGCAAATCCATGTGCAAACAGCAGAGGTGCCAATTTTCGGCCATTTGGAACTTTGACCGGCCGCCATTTTGAAACGGTTTGAGATAATGACTTCCGGTTTGCGCGAAAAATTTTCTTTTTTTATGCTCTTTCGAACGAGGTATCACAAAGGGGGTCTTCCCATTTGAAAATTAAAAGTTAGGGTCCGTAGCCCCCCCAAAATGGGGCCCCCCAAAATTTTGGGGGGGTCAAAAAGTAGCTCCCTTTGATCTAGGAACACCCTCCAAGTTTCAAATCTCTACCTCAATTAGGTCAAAAGTTAGAGGGGGGGGAGGGGACTTTTCGAACACCCTGTATAACGGAGATAAAATTGGGAGAAATTGCAAAAAATTCGCCTGTTGCAAGGGGCTTCCATGTAAGAATTTTGACCTGAAGACAAGGGTTGAATAGCAGCATGTACTCCATACCAATACACGGTGTGCCTAAACGAACATTTTTTTTTTGTCAAAATCGAAAATTCTTTATATTTTTTTAACTACAGTGTCTCTTGAGTCGTTTAAGTAAAAAAAAAAAAAAAAAAAAAAAAAAAAAAAAAAAAAAAAAAAAAAACTGTCGAGATTCTGGAAAATAAAGGAGCTTTAATAGTATTCTGGGGCTATAATAGCTGAATCACTGGTAGTAAATCTCGTTATATTATTAAAAAGAAATTGACTCCATAATTTAATGCCTTAGTTTCTTGAATACCATTATTTTAAACACTCAAACATTTATACCACCAATTTTAGCCATGGGGTGATTTCCTGAGAGCCGATAATATCACGAATTTCTCATAGAACCCTTCAAAAATGGCTTGCTGTTGGGGCAGCCGATTCGGTCATTAAACCGGGGTTTAAAGGTAAGGTGATAATAGCCCGAAGCTCTGAGAAAAATTTTGAGATGAATACAGGAACGGTTTCCAAGTAACGAGGAGAGGCGGGCGAAGCGGCTAAAATCCGATCTAATTTTTGACATTTTTCTGTTGAATTGATGTTGCCGCGGACTTCTGACTGTGTCCACACATGGTTTCTGTTCAGCATATCAGTACATAAGTATTTTTACACGTAGAATGTAATTTTCACGTCAGGGAGTCTGCATATTTTGATTTTTTCGATTTTATACGGAAAATTGATGGTTTTTCGGGATTGAAACTACCGATTATTGTTTCATGGAAAATTAATGCACCCAAAATGACTATAGCATATTGACTTTTACATATTTGCACTCAATTGTAAATTCATTGAGTGGGTACATTGACCTGGATCAAGTTTCTGCGATTTTTAACGGCAAATCGGTAGATTTCCGGGATGTAGATTGCTTACTTTCAATTCATGAATGAATAAAGCAACGACATGGTTGAACTTCTTTGCATGGAAAGACGTTTAAAATAACAAAATCAAGACATATTTAATGCAATTGCATTTATATTGAGTCAATTTCTTTTCAATAATATAACGGAAGTTATACTACCGGTGATTTGGGTATTTTAGCCCCAAAATACCTTTAAATCGACTTTATCTTTCAGCATTTTGACAGAATTTTTCCTTTCTTTGCTTAAATTATTTCGTAACACTTTTCTTTAAGAATCTGATAAGATTTTGCCTGGGGCAGATCAAAAAACTTAAACTCATTTGAATGGCTTTCTACTTTCACAGTACACCGTTTCGTCAAGGTGCGTCGTTGACCTTGCAGTGTTGGATCGTAAATTCTCCTGTTGTGCTGCTTGCCTATTTTGAAATCTCTTCATATAAAAACCAATGAGGTTGATATGTGCGCCTCATCAACACATTGTGTTGGAGTTCACTGCTCGTTTATTTCTACAGTGCAAAGCTTTTTTCTCAAAGCAATCATTAATGAATAAAATTAATGTATCTCGTTTATTTTTTGTTGAAATAGACTTCTTTATAGTGAGGGGGGGGGGTGAACTTTAACCAACCTACTTGTAATAATGCTCCGCTCAGATAATTTTTTTTTTCTTTTTCAGATATATTTACCCTGGATCTGTTACAAAAGCCTCTGGAAATTGTCAATTTATTGGTTGGTTCAAGTGTACCAAAAGTTGCATCAACAGCCCTAGACTTTCTGAAAATATTCATCTCAATTGTCCATAAGAATCTAATTGGTGCCTTTATTAGTCAAATTGTAGGTTTTAGACTTTCAGAAATGCTTAATGTGTTATTTATGCAGATATTTAAAAATACTTTTTTTAATTTTTTTAAATAGCAAATCCAAATAGAATTGTCAGCTTTATAATCTGAACATCCCAGTTGCAGCCTTGTTGTCTGTAATGTAATTAGCAATTTTTGGAGCTTTGTATCTTGTACCCAACATCAGATGATTCCTCAAAAGGACTATGCATATGATACTTTTAAATTCAGCGCCGGCTAAATTTTTATGTTATGTTCCTTACGAAGTCCTGAATACAATGAGGTTCTAAAATGGAATTTCCTGTGTGCCAGTTTCGGGATATTTGGGGCTGAAAAGTGAATTTTTCAGCATTTTTAAATCAGTTTTTGTCGGCCTCCTATGGTGTAGTGGTTGTAGCGCTTGCTCTATAATCGGGAGGTCCCGGGTTCGATTCCCGGCCAGGCGACCCGAGTTTGATGGTCTCAAACAATGGTTGCCTGGGGCTGGTTCAGTAGGGACGGAGGGGGGATGGGACTTAAAGCGTGGGATTAGCCCTTGAGGGCTATTTGAAGTAGTAAAAAAAAAAAAAAAAAAAAAAAAAAAAAAAAAAAGTATCTCGTAGAAATGTTACCATGTCTTATTTGTGATGGAGGAGATCTCTTGGTCTCTAGCAGGCTGGAAAGATAACACACATGAAAATAATTAAAGTCCTATGAACAATAAGGGTGTGCAGTCCCACATCTCCTTCAGAAATCTTGTTCAAGTGTGCCAAGAAGTTTTTTTTTTTCTTTTTTTGACGAAATGCTTCTGTTGTCAAATGCTTTCATGATAAAGAGCTCATATTTTTATTTCACCCAAATCCTTATCTTTCTACAGGCTTATTTTTAAACCCCCCTCCCAAAAAAAAACAACCCAAAAAAATGTGTTCCTCAAACTGCAAAAATTAAAACATAAATACTTGTGACATCCAAAAAAATGTTAAATTTGAAAGTAAATGGAATATCCTCCCCAAAATGTTTGTATGTATGACCTTTCAGAGCATTAAATTCCCATGTGACATAATTTGTGAATTTTGCCAAAATATTCACTTAGTTTTCAAGTGAAGGATACTCACAAAGGATTCTTTGGTCAATCAAAGTATCAAGACATCACTGAAGTTCACTAATACATATCAGGATCAGCTTGATGAACCTCTATTGTACTTTTTTCATCACCACTCTCCTGTTCATTTTTCCAGATACGAAGTCTCTCATCAATAGACAGTGCATTCAAAAGTAAGTTCAGGAGAAAAATTCGAGACATCTATGATCGCCTATCTAGAAAGTTTTCTATCAGCACAGTTATTGAGCTTGTGCCAAAAGACGACCTCGATACTCTAGCAAGACTGAAAATGCTCCGCAAAAAATCAGAGCGGAAAAAGCGTTTGAAACAGAAAGCCATGGAGAAAAGACAATCAGAAGGAGAGGAGATTGAAGAAGAGGATATTGAAGCTGGCCATTTCCTCAAATCAAAACCCAAAAGGTAAATAAATCTCTACCTTCAATAATGCCACCATAGACGTCCAATAGCAAATGATCAGTAAATGATTATCACTTAGTAATTATTTGTATCCGAAAGAGCACAGCAGGTACCACACGACCTCAAAGAGGAATGTCACGCTCAAAAGTCAGGGAAAAGTGGCTGTCATATTCAGTTTGAAGAATCTGTTTTCCCACTTCTCCTTACTCTCGTTGTAACACTACTAGTCGTCATTAAGATGCAACAATGGTAGATACAGTCCATTACAAATGTATGGATACAAACACAATCCATTCAGATAGTAGATACATGATGTAAGAAGACAATGAACCTGTAGAAGATATAAATTGAAGTACTGGACAGTATACTTACTCTCCAAATTTTCACTAAGAAAACGAGTCGCAAAACGAAAAGTCTGGAAATCAGTTCCTATATAAGATATTGGGGCTTAAAATAAACATCGGTTAGAGGTAAAAATGCAAATAAAGTTAATTTAATTTAGCCTCTATTTTTATCTGGGTTAATAATACTTGTCATTATTTTGTTCAGGAGTTGATTTCAAGATTTTGAAGAGCAAATTCGACATTCTATCCTATTTCAGACCATTTGTAGTGGCTCATTGTATCGTGCGTCTTTTTGAATCCCACGTTGCCATAACCTAATGATTTGGAGTAATTTTTTTTTTTTTTTTTCAGTATTGAAGAAATCCTGGCAGAGTGTGATTCGGATGATGAAAAGGACTTCATTGATGATGATACTAAAGACGGTGGAAAAGCTAAAATGAAAAAGGAAAAATCTATAGTAATTGAGGAAAGACAAGATGAAATTGTAGATTTCACAGATATCTCGTCAAACAGAAAAATTATCGGTAAGTTGAGTTGAAAAGTTCAACTTGAAAAATAAAACATCTAATTTTTTTAACCCATTTTGAGGTATGTATTAAATTGTTTCCAGGGAAATCAAATGCAGTCAACTTTCATTACAACATCTCCGAAAGGGATTTGAAAAATTAAAGTTTTTTCTGGAAAGAGTTTGTAATTTGAAAAAACTCTTCAGTCTGTTTTTACTAGGGCTGTGCGAGCCTGGTTTTTTGGATTCGAGCCGAGTTCGAGTATTTTTTCACTAAGTCGAGCCGAGTTCGAGCTTTTTCGAGCTTTGAAAATGACCCTCGAGCCGAGTCGAGCTCGAGTCGAGTTCGAGTAATTTCGAGTTTTAAAACGTGATTTAATCTATTTTCTACAACAAATAATTTCAAACAAGACTCATTATATGATATTAATAATTATTGACAATGACACACTAGGAAGGATTTACACTAAAATTACAAAATGTTCGGCAGTAACGCGTTAAAATAACTTCCCGCGGTTTAATATGAAAAGAGGACAAAACTGGGCAAGAAGCGGCGTGGCGCGGCGTACATCAAAGGAACTTCGGGCGGCACAAGTAAAGGCTTTAGAGCCCATTTATGCACGCAATTCGTGTCGCCGGCGGCAGTTGTCGCCGCGACGTTTTTTGGAATCGCGCGATTCCTATTTTTGTAGCCGCAGCACCTTTTTTCTGCCGCCGCGACACCGTTTTTCTGGAGCGCAAAAGGTCCAAAACACGTGCTCACTTTCAGTTTTCCAAGCGGCGGTCGCCGCCGCATGTTGAAATTTGTCGCGCGCATAAATGCGCTCATATGACTCCGTGTAGTTACAAACCGCGCGCGCGGCAGGAAATCGCCGGGCGGTAGCGTGTTGGCGCTGCGGATGGTAGAAATTTGCCGACGAGACTCTGATGTTATTCAATCTTAAAATGATGGCAAAACTAAAAAAAAATAGTTAAAGTATGATTGAAATGTTTGGAAGTTGGACTCTTTCGGCGTTTCCGGCTCAAAAAAACTCGAAATACTCGAAAAAACTCGTGTTGTTGACACTCGAGCCGAGTTCGAGTACTCGCTCGAACCTAACCTAACTTTCGAGCCGAGTCGAGTACTCGATACTCGGCTCGACTCGACTCGAAATTCGAGTACTCGCACAGCCCTAGTTTTTACTTGAAGTAACAGTGCTCAACATGGGTAAATTCACCTACTGCAATCAGAGACAAGAGACCCTCCACTGGCCTCCTAGCGACAGGTGGAAGATTTTACTTTTGGGGATTCAACAGTTCCTTATGGATAATTATTAGGGAGCATCCAATAATTTCGGGTGTGGACCTACCTACATGGTCGATGATGAGCTCCAGGTGACGTCATGAGCCAAACAAGTTTCACAAACTTCAGCCATTTTCGACTTGTTTGCAAAACTAAACTGCCAAAACGTTGTTAAACATCAACCATGTAGGTAAATCAACAGTAGAATGCTGAAGTCCCGAAAGTAAAAGCCTCCACAATAGCCGAGATACGAGTGGAGGGTCTCTTGTCTCTGACTGCAATGCTGCTACTGTTACCTGGTAAGTTTTTAGCACTGATTTTGAAAATGACCTCCATTTTTCTGGGTTAGCTCAATTTTTCATTCCTCTGAAAAATTGAGTTTTTGCAGAGAAAAGTCAATTTCCTGGTAAATCTGAGCACAATGGAAGTAAACAGAAGTCCTTTTTTTGGAGTCAGTGTCAAAAATGTACTCGGACACAGTTAACTTATTGAGGCAAATTAAAAAAAAAAGAAAAGAAAAAAAAATTGTTTACCAGTGTAATGTTTTAAGTTATCATCTCTGAGAATGAATTAGAAATCAAGTTCTAGAATATTACATATCACTAGAAATGTGTAGGGTCTTTTATGGTGAAGGACAGATTTGATCGAAAGAGGTGAGGTTGATGCTATATCTACAATTTTTTCTTCCCTCTGGATTTTTTTTTTCATTTTTTGTGTTCAAAAAGAATACCCAGGGCATCAGTTCTCAAAATTCTCGAAAGGTGAGAAGGAGGGTAGGTGTTAATAGTTGAAAAACCAGTGAAATAGTTTTTCTCGTAACATTTTGAGAAATTAAGATATTGACTTGTGGTTTGCACAGGCAACTGGCATAATACATAGACTTTCAAACAAGTTTATATTGATGGTGAAACTGCAAAAATGTGTACCTTGGTTGAGGTGATTCAAAATCTCTGCTCCTATTGTATTTTTTAAGTAGAGTTGGAACTACAATGATAGCTTGAAGTTTTCCCAGAATATTCTCCATAAAGAGAAGAAAAAGCACTGACATTTTCAAAAAATAACGTGCAGTAGTTTTCTATTTATGAAGTAAAGTATGACAGGAAGTCTGCAATGCCACAAATCAAGATACGCATTCATACAGTCTCATCATCGATATGTTGCATACCTATCTTGAGTAAATGTTAGGAAAATTCGACATAGTCGGATTTGCGGTTAAAGTTTTCCTGATGTTGGTGGAAATTCTGAAAAACTACCATACTTTATTTTCATCAAAATCGGATGTGTTTTTCTTTTCATTACACTTATCATAAAATGCTTACCGCAAGCAGGAAACTTTTTTCTCCATAAGTTTTGACTGCATAACCAACAAAAAACATCGCTCTGCAGGTAATTGGAAGTGGCATGCCACCGCTCTCCATCCAAATAATGATAGCCGATGAATGGTCTGGCCCTCAATTGTTGCTGAATCTTGCCAGGTTCCGTTACTTCCCTCTATCAAAGGAAAAACTTTTCCTCATGAGGTACTGGAGATAAACCTCAAAGTATTTTTTATGAATGTCAAGCAGCTTCTTTTCATGACATGGTTTGAAGCCCAATCCAAGCTTTCATTCAACTCATTATATGTTGGCTTAATAACTGTAACCTCAGAAATTTTTGTTCCAGCCTCCAAGAGTGGAGTTATTGGCAGAGATTTCAGCAGCCTCAAGAAGAGGAAATCAAAAGATCTTGGCTTTAAAACAACTTCTGATGGTAAATTAATTATCAGAGAAGATTCTGGCAGTGATTCAGAAGATGAGGATCCCAAGAATTCCCTGAATAAAGGGGTCGAAAGCTTAAGAATTGAACTCTCGGGTATGTACCTTATTTTGAAAGAGGTTGTTCCAAAAACGCCGATTTTGCTCCCCCCCCCCCCCCCCNGATTTGCCCCAACCTTTGCTCAGATGTTGTACTAAGTGTCCCCGATGCTTGGGCAAAATATCTGCCCCCTCGGATAATTAGGGTCGGGGGGGCAGGGGGGCAAAGTTGCAATTTTTTCGAAACTTTAAAAATCGATATCTCGCGAACGGTTTGAGTATAAAAGTTACGGTTTGCGCTAAAAAACGTAAAAAAATTTTCTCTACAAGATTATTGATGCTGTTTGCATGGTTGCGTATTTTATCGTAGTCATAAATCGATTTTTTCGATTTTGAAGGTTCGACTTTTTTTCGTTTTTTGTCTCTCCTCTCCAGGCGATCGTTGCTACGTGAATAAAAACCAATTGAGGTGATTCTCCATGAAATTCTGCATCTACCACACTTTGTTTGACCTTGGAGAAACGATTCATTCTTGATTTATGGCGATTTTTCTGCGCGTTCCCGGTTACGCGCGGACGGCAAATCGGCGGCGCTCCATCCCCCCAGGCGAGGCAGAGGTCGTTCCACTGCTAGGGCCTTATATTCATGCTGTAGGCTGTAATTGTCGATATTTTCTCCTTCCCCCACCCTTCCCCTCCAATAAATATTTTTTTTTATACTTCGTTATACAGAGTGTCCCGGACCACCCGTACCCGGTCTTTTTCTCGGTTGGTTTAGGTAGTACGAAGTGGGGGACCGCAGGGTTAAACAGGGAATGGACCCCAAAGTATCCGAATTTCATGGTCCCGAAACTCCCCATGCCACCCTTGGGGGGTAACGAGGGGGTCACGATCCCAAAAGTCGGGAGACATTGTGCCTCCCTCTTTTACCTCCCCAAGGGAGGTTAGGGGGGCTCCGGGACCATGAAAATTGGATACCTTGGGGTCTATTCCCTGTTTAACCCCGCGGTCCCCCACTTCGTACTACCTAAACCAACCGAGAAAAAGACCGGGTACGGGTGGTCCGGGACACTCTGTATAACGAAGTATAAAAAAAATATTTATTGGAGGGGAAGGGAGGGGGAAGGAGAAAATATCGACAAATACAACCTACAGCATGAATATAAGGCCCTAGCAGTGGAACGACCTCTGCCTCGCCTGGGGGGGATGGAGCGCCGCCGATTTGCCGTCCGCGCGTAACCGGGAACGCGCAGAAAAATCGCCATAAATCAAGAATGAATCGTTTCCCCAAGGTCAAACAAAGTGTGGTAGATGCAGAATTTCATGGAGAATCACCTCAACTGGTTTTTATTCACGTAGCAACGATCACCTGGAGGGGAGAGACATAAAACAAAAAAAAGTCGAAATTTCAAAATCGAAAAAATCGATTTATGACTACGATAAATTACGCAACCATGCAAACAGCATCAATATTCTTGTAGAGAAAATTTTTTTACGTTTTTTAGCGCAAACCGCAACTTTTATACTCAAACCGTTCGCGAGATATCGATTTTTAAAGTTTTGAAAAAATTGCAACTTTGCCCCCCTGCCCCCTCGACCCTAATTATCCGAGGGGGCTGAAATTTTGCCCAAGCATCGGGGAACAACCTCTTTGTTTTATTAATAACTTCTATTATGAGGATATTGTTAAATTTAGAACAATTTTTACACGCTGCAATTTTCATTGTGGCCTTTAATGAGAGCCGAAACAAATCGAATTGGCAGCACTTCTCTACGTTAGTTTAATTTATTTTACAAACTTTGAAGAATAGAAGAATTGAGTCCAACCGCCCAAATTGTTGGCCATACTTCGTTACGCTTGTATTTCAAAGCAAATGATTGGACTATTGCAGAAACACAGGGGGACAAAAAACTGAGACAAGCAAAATTGAATGGCAGCAGAGGACCCCTAATATTGTTTCTCCTGCATAGAAAGTTAAAAGGGAAAAGAGGTTGTTCCATCTGCCATATGAGTTGGGCCCAGAATGGAAATTTTTCATTTTTTCAGGTATCAAAGGGTATGGTCTAAGGTGTCCGAAAATGGCCAACTTTTTGATCTGCCCCCCCCCCCCCCCCCCCCCCCCCCNGAGGGGGGAGGGGGGGTCCAATGAAAATAAATTTTTTGGGCATAACTCAAGAACGGTTAAAGGTAATGCATCAAACTTTTTTTTTAAATGAAAGAGCATAATAAAAGCTTTCGTTTGATGTATTAGACGTTAGTATTTAATCAATTTTTGAATAAGTTATGACCAATCAAAAATTTTGAAAAAGTAAAAAATCGGTTTTTTGAATTTGAAAGGTACGGCGATTGTTCTCGGCCTTTGATCTTCTGGTTAAAATGAGACCAAGTTCATCGTAGGGAAATTATTCGTTCCGGAGTTATGATTTTTTAAAGTTGCGGCGGCAGGGTCCGCGACCCCCGGGACCGCTTCCCCGAGTTCATAATCGCGCCCGCCACGCAACTTTAATTGCAAAATCGAAAATTTTGCATACAACATGTATTGGAAGGTTTTAGGTGCTCAAGTGTGGCCGAATTATTTTAATTATGCCCCCCTCTGGAGGGGAAGGGGGGTCCATTGAAAATCGATTTTTTGGACAGAACTCAAGAACGGTTGAAGATAATGCACCAAACTTTTTTTTAAATGAAAGAACATGAAAAAAGCTTCCGGTTTGTGTATTGAAAGCCGCTGTTTTGTGCTTCTGAGTGATTCGTGACTGATGTTGGCTCGACAGAGCCCACTGGGACCACTTTCTTAGCTTACAATTGCGAGCCTCCGGCCGTCCCTGCGTATATCCTAAAATCTCAACTGTTACGAATTTCGGTTCCTCGCGAGTGTTAGGTGTATTATTTCGTCCGAATCTATTAAAGGGAGTTACTGCACCTGCAAAAATGGTGCACGCACTGTAAACCCTTATGCGCACATTGTTAAACTTCTTTGGTACTTCATTTACGGGCGATTTGAAAATAAACCTGCCCCCTCAGCATATCTCAACGACTGTTTTCCTTTGCGAAAGTGTTACTTTCAATTCTCGGAGAAGGAGGACGAGGAAGAAAATGAGGATGAAGCAAGGAGTACCGACCATGAGCAGTGACATGATATCATGGCTTGGTGAGTTTAATTACTTTCAATTCTTCGAAATTACTTTCATTGATTTTTATGACTCATTGCCATTTTTTGATTGCTGCTTTCAATGCACAAACCGGAAGCTCTTTTAATGTTCTTTCATTAAAAAAAAGTTTGGTGCATTATCTTCAACCGTTCTTGAGTTCTGTCCAAAAAATCGATTTTCAATGGACCTCCCTTCCCCTTCAGAGGGGGGCATAATTAAAATAATTCGGCCACACTTGAGCACCTAAAACCTTCCAATACATGTTGTATGCAAAATTTTCGATTTTGCAATTAAAGTTGCGTGGCGGGCGCGATTATGAACTCGGGGAAGCGGTCCCGGGGGTCGCGGACCCTGCCGCCGCAACTTTAAAAAATCATAACTCTGGAACGAATAATTTCCCTACGATGAACTTGGTCTCATTTTAACCAGAAGATCAAAGGCTTTTATTCAGGAAGTTTTTTCTGCTTCTGAGAACAATCGCTGTACCTTTCAAATTCAAAAAACCGATTTTTTACTTTTTCAAAATTTTTGATTGGTCATAACTTATTCAAAAATTGATTAAATACTAACGTCTAATACATCAAACGAAAGCTTTTATTATGCTCTTTCATTTAAAAAAAAAGTTTGATGCATTAACTTTAACCGTTCTTGAGTTATGCCCAAAAAATTTATTTTCATTGGACCCCCCCTCCCCCCCCTCCAGGGGGGGGGGGGGGGGGGGCAGATCAAAAAGTTGGCCATTTTCGGACACCTTAGACCATACTCTTTGATACCTGAAAAAATGAAAAATTTCCATTCTGGGCCCAACTCATATGGCAGATGGGACAACCTCTTCATAAAGAAGACATGTAATAAGAAAGGATACAGAAGCTGTATCATTTTCAGCGTCAAACATTCCTAATGACTTGTGCTTGTTACTTGTACAACTGTTTGAACAGCATAGTTTTCTTTTACTCAGATAATCCCATCCCAGGCTTAACCTGGCTCCACCCATGCACCCCATGCTAAACAATTGGTAACCATTTTGCTCATCGTATGAAAAAAAACATGTATTCTATTGGATACAATTCATACTTGTCTCATTAACTTTAATATGTGTTCAGTCAATTTCGCTATACTACGGAAGTGACCTCTATGAAACACTAATTATTAAGCTACTCTTATGACCTGGGGGGGGAGGGAGGGGAGCGTGTATTTCTTGTGTTAAGGGTTTAATGGTATCAGGGAGTCAGGGTTGCGCTATGAAATTTTTAAATCCTTTGCTTGCGATCCAGTTTGTTAAAGGTGCAAACCGCTGAAATCTCGTTTCATAAGCTTTAACTTTCAAATGAGGAGAGAGAGACTTAACACTCGTAAGTGGGGCCGGGTCCTGAATCATCAAAACACCAAAACACTAAAACAACCTCTACCAACCTGATGCAGTCGTCCCAACACCACACAACCCATCTGGATACCACCTCAAAAAAGCACTCAGAATGAAAGCTTTCAAAAAACTCCACCCCAGCATAATTTATTTTACAAACTTTGTAAATAAATTGAAATCCCTCTTAAAAATGCTGCAGAAATGTCAAGACATCTAATATTGATCTAGGGCTTTCTCACAACTTTTCAAATCATGATAGGAATTCCTAAGTACCCAAGGTGTGAACGTTGCAATATCTAATTTTTTTAGAACAACTAGGGGGCTGCTTCCATTCTTTGAATGCATGTAATTCGTGCTCAAAATAGCATAAATGAAAGTTTTGCATCTCTTTCCAAAGCAAACTGACTTCTGCACGGGCTAGAGAACCTTTACAGAAAGAGTTTGAATACCAAGAGTCCTTATGATTGGTTGAGCCATCTTTGATCTCATTGTGCATTCTGAGATCCAAATAATAAACAAAAATCTTATGCAATTGACTTGAAAAGTCAACAACAAGTGCAGCAGGTGTTAATTGTCAAAAGCTACCAAGAACCTGCTCACACTCTAAGTCATCCCCATTTTCCTGAATCTGTTTACCTGAATATCTTAGCTTCCTTTACCAAAGTACTCCCATGCGGTCCAGTGATGTGTTTAGGTGCATCTTCAGCTTTTGCGCTATGCATTCTGGGTACAACCAATCAATGGAGAATTTGCACACAAACATTTTATTGCTTCATCTAAGAGTGTCCAATAAGCTGAGTTCGCAGTATTTTTCATAATTTTTTTCTGACATTGAAAATTGGAGAAATATAGTTTTAAAAGTGAGAAAATGTGCCGCCTTATGCCGTCATCTGATGGCATTTTCCATTTAAACACATGTATTTTAGCAGATTAGGTTATTTTGTCATATTTTCTCCAAGAATAATTGTGCAATTTAGAAACCAAGGATATCTTCGCACTCAGTTTTCTTAGCAGTATCATTTTAAATATGAAATTCTCAAAATTTCAGACACCTGCAAATTCTCTATTTCAAATGTTAACTTTTTGGTGGATTATTTTGAGGATCTCGAAATTTCGTTCTGTAGATCAATCATCAACAAATTTTTGTGCTAAAAACCATCCTCCAGAATCTTCAAGTAAAGCCAAAAGTATTATTTCCATTATACAACCGATTTCAATGAATTGATATCGATAGTTCATCAGAAACAGTACTTTTAAGTTTGTTCTATGTATTTGGAAGATGATTTTCAACTCAATACATTCCTGGATGATTTATCTACAGACTGAAATTTCGATTTTCCCAAAATAAATCACCTAAGGATTAAAAATTGAAGTATATTAATTGTACCCATGATGCATTGTGCAAAAGCTAAAGATCCACCTTAAATAACTGCATAACGATGGTGAAACTACTAGACCTTATATTTCGTTTGCGGTGTTTAAAAATCACCGCTCTCATTTTATTTTTGCAAACGAGAACAAACCAATACCATCCTTTTCAAGTTTCACAGATTTTGCTTCACACTGAGAAGAAAACTCTCGGAATTTTGCAGGAATTGACATTGAGTAGCTTTCCATCTAAAAAAGAAAGTATAAGAGGAAGTCTACAATGTTGCAAACCAAGGTATGTGGTCTGGTAGTTTCACCGTCGATAAGCTGTTACCCTCCTGGGCAACTGGCAAAAATGACATCACAAACGTCCTGCAGAAACGTTGAGCAACATTAATTTTTGCATCACCATTGTGACGACGTTTTTGCAACATAACTTTGCAGTTTTTCTTGAATTTTTCCTGTTAATCAGGAAGCATGGTGAATTTCCTTCTTTACGTTAAATGATTTCACCTTTCTTCTTTTGCTGTATTTGACATTATTTTATGTTTTTCAGTCCTCCTCCCAACAAGGCTCATTACAATGAAAATTCCTCTGTAATGTAAAAATGGCCAGTCCCTAGACATTTCACTGTAGCAAAAGTTGAGTGAAATTGTTTTTGATGGGATTTTTATGTTTTTAAGAGACATTTTAAGGAAGAAGAGAAAGTTTTAGAAAGTTGCCTAAACAATTACTGTTGCTTTGTGACACCCCATGCTAATTCGAGACGATTCTACATAAGTCATGTACAAGAAGAGATAGAGCAGACTAATGGAGATTGAAGGGAGCTAGATAGTGTGTTTGAGGAGCCGGCGCGTGGCGTGCGTCGCCATGCCCGGGGCCAGTGGCAGTGAAGGGGCAGGGAGACTGCTCAGTGCTCAGCGACTGGTTGGCAGTCTGCGACGGGGAGAGGGCTTGCTGTGTGCCAAAGCAGAGGTGAGGCATTTTTTTATGCATGAATTTTCGGATCAAAGGGCCCCGCCCCGCAACTTCTTACATTAGATACAGCTCTATGTAAAAGATGTTCCTCATAACTTTGGGTGTTACAATCCCACACGTCAGTGAAAACTAACAAAGAATGAGGCACCTAAATTTATGTTTTTGAATGATTGTAGACGAAGAAGAAGAAGAAAAAGTTGATGTAACCAAAAATCTAGATGCACTGTTGAAAGATAGAGTAATGAGGAAGCGTAAACTAAGTATGTCTGATAGTGGAGATGCCCTGGATCCAAAAATGAAATATCAAGGTAAGAAAACTTCCTAATTTTACTCATTAATATCATGTCTTCAAAATAATGGAAAATCAGAAGTTGTCATCGAATTTGAAAGCAGAGGGATCCTCAGAAACTTAGAGAGGATCCTTCCAGTCAATGGACAAAGCCTGGCACTGCACATCTCCAATTAGAGTCTCGACTGAAGACAAGTTTGACTCTGAGTTAAGAGTTTCGACTTAATGATGCTATCTTGAATATAGGTCACCATGCATCTACTGGTATATTATTACTGCTCTAAATGCACGGGAAACGGTTAAAAATGATGAAAACAAAACACGTTTCTCATGGCTTTATGCAGTTAACACCTGTCTCCTGTCACTCTGTGCAGACTCATTTATAATTTACCCAGGGTGCATGGTAGTATTTCATTTTGGTTGTTAACCGTGGAGGAACTTACTACTGTTACTAATATCCATTTCTTTCAGTTCGTATTTTGTCGTCTATATTAGGCGTAAATAGATTATATTGCTAGAAAACAAGTCCTAATTCTCTATAATGATTCCTTGCAAGTGAGCAAGGGTAGATTACATACTCCTTCCTTGTATTCACGTATCATAAGAAGAAAACAAGGGAGTTCCAACGAGCAAATGATGAGAGATTAGTTGCAAAATGGCCCCAGAGAAGTGCTACCATGAATGTTTAACTCGGTTGTTAATGTGTACAACATGTATCTCTGGATAGAATGTGATGCGAAACCGACATGAAACACATATCTTAATTTCAGTCAGTTTTTGCTTAATATTTCATGGTGTCTCGTTTTAAATGCTCAAGAAGGTGAACAGTCCTCTTCAGGAATACTTAAAGCACCTGTCATAGCCGGTTTTGGTGCTGTCTAAATTAAATAGAAGAGGAAAATGGTTTTGGAGTCATGGAGTCATGTAGGCTGACTCAGCCTACCTCATTGCTGAGGTATGACTTAAGAATAGATACCCTGGTACCAATTTCAAAACACCCGCAATGTAATTTCTGGAATGGGTGGAAATCGATGTCAAATATGAGCAATCATCAAGATTATTTTCATTAAAGAAGAGGAAAAATGTTTGGTTATATTTCATTCAAGCCATCGTAGATGGTGAAGGTGATTCTTGTGCTGAGGATTGATTGAAAGATCGGGTCTGAAAAATTGGTATTCTGAGAGATAATGATTTTGATTTTTCTTGCCAATCTAAAATTTTAAAATTAATTAATCGGGTGTATCCAAATTATTATGTGGCAATCCAATCCGATCAAATTTGATCCCTGACAAATCCTGGAAGAAGAGAAATGGAATAGGATGAATTGGATAGTTTGGGATCTCTACTGCGAAAGAAAGGAATATTTGCTTTGAATCATGAGTACCTTTCTTTCTACCAAATTATTAGTCAAATTATCTGATTCAAACGCAAACATATGGAAAGGAACGGACTCTTTCATTTCACCTCAGAGGTGAGATTGAATCGATCCTGTCAAAAGATGAGTGTTCCAGAACCAATTCGATCTTTTCAAAGATCTATGCGGGACGCGCCATCAATTGTCAAAAACCGTGTGTTCCCTCCATGAGCTTCTCACTTTCATTAAATTATCTGTAAATAAAAACGAATCAGGTTGATACGACATGAGTGAATGACGTGCCTTCACTAACACAATGTCTCAGAGTTCACTGTTCGGGATTTCCTTCATCAACAGTGTCACGAATTCTCCAAATTCAATTTTTTTCAAAGTCATGCAACTTTTTTTTAAAGAATTCAATTTTTTATCTCCCAAAAAGTTTTAATCGTTAGTTACTTGGGCATAGAAAGAATTAATTTTCAGTGAATAAGCAAAACGTTTTTGTTGTGATTTTGATTTGCATGTTTCGTTACTTCATTTCTTACTTTTACAGCTGGTGGTCTTGGGATTCATCGTCCTCTATCAACCAAAGATAGAATAATTCCTAGGAGCAAGTCGCAAAAACCTAAAACCCCAGGCAGTGAATACAAAGCGCAAAAAGCTGGTGGTGACTTGCGCAAGAAAGGAAAGTTTGAACCATACTCTTACGTTCCATTGCAGAGGACTTGGCTGAACAAACGGTAAGTCTGACTTAAATTTAAAGTGCTGATTCAAGGCTTGTTGGTTTAAAATTTTACAAAGTTTTTTCATATAATTGTTTTTAGTTTCAGCACAAGTGATCCTCTCTTACCGCACAAAAAAATCCTAACTATTCTGAAAACACAGTAGATCACCAAATCATATTTATTTTTTACTCGTATAGAGAAAAATTTTTTCAGTATTTCATCATACATCATGCCCATCATGCTTGAAAGCCTTCTTACAAGAGCTTGGCCTGAATCGTTGCCTCCCTATCCATGTCATGAATCAGAGACAAAAAGAGTCTCTCCATTTTCATTCCAGTAATGCGGAAAACTTTCTTTTGGAATCCAACAGTTCCTTATGGGCATGATCACTCATTTTACCTTCTTGTTGGCTGTTGAGTCTGAGTATAATGCGTGGTAAACTCACTAAACATTGATTTGTTGCTAAATGAATAGCCTTACATGATGCTCAGCAGCATTCAAGGAGGTGGTTCAAAGATTAATCGGCAGAGCTCTGAGAGTAGAGATTTCTGCTCGTCACTAATACGCAAGTTGAGAGACTGTCTCTTTCAAGTATGAATAATCAGAACCTGACAAGTAGAAACAAAGAGCTGGGAAGCAGCCAAAAAAAAAATCGAGAAAAAAAGTGCAAACAGATTTAGACCCTAAAGAGGCTACTTTTAATTACTTAATGAAATTAAATTTAAAAAAAAGAATTAAAAATAACCAGTCAAAACACTTGATTAACCCATCATAAAGAAACATTGAGAAGCAGAGATGATTATTACCGATACTAACAATAACAACAGTTTGTACCAAGATGGGGAAAAAAACACAGAAAGTTATTTACAATATATCTTTTACCGTCGTAATTCAGGTAATATATACATTAACTAGTTAATGTATAGAATAACGAGCGGTTTCAATTACAGAATGAAATGGCACTTTTATTTTATACTTTGACTAGTTATTGCATAGAGTAACTAGTTATTCCGTAGATTAACGGAGGCTCATTAGTGAAAGCGGCAAATGGTGTGAATTTAACTTTGTTGTGTAATGACAAAACTCTCAACACGATACCGAAGATGAAAAGTTCAGTGAACATCAAATAAAAAGTAAATAATTTTATTAAGCGTGACTCTAGTTTTTATTCCTGATTGAAAAGCTCAGTGAACGTCAACCAAATTTTAAATACAAATTTTTATTTACTGAGACAATACTTTTTATTCCTAACTGAAAAGTTCAGTGAACGGCAAAAAAAGTTTTATTTATTTTTGCATGAAGACAAGGAATGACATTTATAATTACACAGTATGCCTAAGACTGACAGCAGAAGAGGTGACTCTTCTGCAGGCATGTTTAAAAACTGCTTTTCTTTCCTTTTTCTTTTTTTAAATCACATTTGCTTATTTTATGTGATACGAAAACCTATCACATTCCACAATTTTATCAAGTGACATTCCTTATTTACTCATCCTTCCTTGCCCCCTCCTCCGCTCCTGCATTCCCCAGATGCTAGTTCTCATTAATGAACATTACACACTTTCCCAGCAAGCCGTTTGTTATTCTACAGAATAACTAGTTAAAGTACATAATCGTCTGACATTCCATACTTACACGGGTCTCCTCAGTTGTTCTATAAATCAACTAGTCAATGTATAGAACAATGGATTACATACTTTAACGATATCATATCAAGGGCAGCTTTTCAATTCACCGGATATTTTTTATACTATTTTCAACTCTTTTTTGTTTTCAGGAAAAAATTCAAAGCTGCTGGACAATTTAAAGATCTAGTTAAAGTAAAGAAGAGCAAAAAGTGATAGTTAGAATTTACTTGAATAAATCTAAGAGATTCTTTATGTTAAGCAATATAAAAATGTTACTGTACATGAAAAATGAATAACTAAGCATAAGCTGTCAGTCTCAAATCTAATTTGTCTCATTGACGGTAGTATGATGAAATAACTTGCTCCTTAACAACTATTTATGGATTCATCGAGTTTCCAAAAGAAATTTTTTATTAAAAATGTATGAGTATTTGACAGTAATGCACTAGCCCAACTTAATCCTTTCTGCGGTATCTTGAGTTGTACGAACAAAAATCCTTTCGGTGATATTTTGAGTTTGTTACAAGTATGAGTCGTTGTGATTAACACTGTAACTCAAAAGATTTGTCAGGTATTCAATGGCAGCGCATATCATCGTTTAGAATGGTTTCAACAGTAGCGGTATCTGTAAGTAGTCCTAAGAATGGTAGTTTCATAAATTATGATGAATAGCTCTACTGGCTTGAATGCAGCTGATGCAAATGTCATTTGCTTACTTTCTGATCATACTGACTGGTATGGCCTTAACGAACTAAAATAACCTGTTACTCTCTCTCTCTTGGTGGCCAGTTTTAAGTATGGTATATTCTTGATAAAAATCTATCTTGGCAACCAAAGTGGTTTAGTAACATATATATCAGACCATGGAATTCCTTTCATTCTTTGTCAATTTTTTTTTTTTTGCTATCAGTTATGTTTCTCAATCCTATTCAACAGTACCATAACTTAATTGGTGGGGAAGCAATTTGTCATAAGTTGTTCCGGCGAATAGTTGAGTATGGAGGTGGCTGAGGTCTTGGATTAGTTCCCTCATGAGGCATCCTGAAAAGGAAAGGCAAATCAATGAAATTATACAAATGAAAGTGGCAATCATGCATCTATTTTATTACCTATTTACTCAATACCTGAAGCCATCAGCATGGCATACTACTCGCCCTCCTCAAAAAGAATCCAAATCATACAACTTTCCGGGACACCCTCAAAAACTGAGTAGGTGTTCATGTTCACGAATGTATGGAGGTTTCAACACAAGCAAGTGGCATACAATCAGAAAAATCAGGTTCCGAATGTTTCGAGTTCTGATGTTTTCAGTTTCATTGGAGTTTACGAGTATTTGGTTGCAAAAAATACTCCATCACCTATACTGTGGCACCACCCGCATTCAACCTGGCACCGTGCTTTCAGGTTTGATGCATGCCACTTTTTTATGTGGGTTGACAGTGAGGAAGAAGTAGTTAGTGGCAACAACTAACCGAAGCCCTATCCTTTGTCCCAAACATTATAGAGTCCTATTCTGCCATGCTAAGCAAGAACGCTGTAAATCCATCAAGATTTTCCTTCGCTTTTTGGAACTTAACGCTTTATAAAATATGAAGTGTTTTACCCATGCACCTCAAATTTTCAGGAAGAGCTCTTGATAGTATTTGCGAAAGAATTCTGTAAAAATATTGTCCCAAGGTAAACAAGTTTTTCCGCTATGATAAATTGTTTCCAAAAAATGTGAAACAGCGTTTTTGCGTTACATGGCAGTATTCCGTACTCGTTCGTAGAGTTTCCGTTTGCACAGCTGCCTAGAGAAGGTCGTGGGCAATTGTCAATAAAAGGCAGGCAACATATCATCTGCTTACAAAACGTTTGCTCCTCGGAACTCTTAATTGAAGCAATGGAGAATGAGGGTGTCCTCATGCGAGGGGGCAGTATAGTAGATTGTTAATTTAAGCAAAATTGAGCCATTCATGATCTGGAAAGCCACAATGCCATCCCATCCGAACTAACACAAAATTCTGATTGGGAAATAGTGGAGCCTGTATATAACGAAGTTCACGATTTTCAGAAAAACTTCGTTAAAATCAAACCCGGCGGAAATATGGAGATGAATTCGGGGAAACATAAAAAAAGTTGCGTACCAATTTACGAAAATTAAATATGTATTGAGATGAGGGAGTGTCAACTCCCTGATGACCTGTGGGAAGACCGAGATTTCTGGCAATTCGGTGTCGTATAGCGCCAAAGAGTGCTATAAAAGCGACTATATGGATGTAAATATGTATTTAAATCAAGAATACATATGCAAATTTTATCAACCTGGTACGTATGTCATTACTCAAACTTCCTTGAAGTAAAAGTCGATTGACTTCTTGACTGTTTAGGACCGGCAGGCATTTTTCTTATGAAATCATCCTCATCTTTGAAGAGCAAGGTCAATGACCCTCCGAAACCGGTCGCGAGCGATACTGGTGAGTGGCGAGCCTGCTGGAGGGCTTACAATGCAGCAGAAAGCATAGGGAGTGCTTTCTGGTCTTCCCTCTCTCCATCTTTCTCACATGAGTATTCGGCGGCGTCAGGTAGCACTTAGGTAGAGATGAAAAATTTCATGGAATTTACTCGCGTGAAATTTCGCGAAATTTTTTTAAACTTTTTGGGATAAATTAAGGAGACCAAAAAACGCCTCGATACAGCAATTCCACAATTTGAAATTTTTCACCCCTAGCCTTAAACATTCACACGTTGCAAATATTTTCGTTTGGTTTAGAGGAAAGGTTGGGACTGGTCTCTCTAAATTCCCCTTTATGCCCCCCCTTCGTGTGTAGCTCTTCATTAAGTTAGCATAATACTGCCGCATCAACAGGAAGACCATTTGAAGTGCTTCCGGATATCTAGAGGCTCAATAGATAATTCCGAAAAAAATTAATAAATTTAAAATTTTGTGAAGTTCATTCTTTGAAATTCGTTCGAGCCTTTTGAAATTTCATTTTCCATCTCTGCAGGTAGCTGTGTGACTCCCCCCCCCTCCATTGCGGACGAGACTGATGAGACTCGAGGCATGCGCAGCGCGGCGGGCTGCCCACTTCGTTATCGATCATTCCCTCTTAATCATATTTGTAATTTCGTGACCACCACAGGTATTACTGTAAGCGAGCGGAGCTCGTCTAGAAAACAGAAAATACGCAGAACTATAGACTGATTTAGTGACTATGTCTTTCGATATGATATCGAACTTTTGGTTCAAACCAAAACAAACCGACATAACCTCATTTACGATTTCTTCATGAGTTGATTGTGATAATTTATTAAAATTTGGTCATTGACCGGTCATAAATCAGTTAAGGATACATTCATCACGAGAAATTTCGATTTTCAGACACACTTGGACGCATTTTACCAGCATATCGCAAAGGGAGCAAATCAGAAACAAGGTTATGTGTTTGTTTACATTTGAACCATGACAAGATTATGACGTAGCCACTAAATGAGTCTATACAGCGGAAATGGTGGCAAATTACTTCGTTACACCCGAGGCTCCGTCGCTGAAACTTCGTTGCTGGTGGGTTTTTTACTACTGAACGTACATGGAGACACTAGATAAAGAAAAATTACTTCGTTATATCCGGAACTTCGTTAAAGGCGAGTTTGTTACATACAGGCTCATCTGTAAGATAAATTGCTTTGCTGTCCTATAAGACCTTAGGAAATTGAAAGAAAAAAAAAATTATGAGCTAGGAAAACCTAGTCACAACTGCTTCATTTGAAAGGCAGTGGAAAATTGTGCTGCGACCAAAGTGTAAAAATCTATCCTAGAATTAAATAATTCAATAAACATACCTAGGCAAGGTTGCAGCGATATTGTAGTTCATTGGAGAGGAAGGCATGGACCGTTCAGATGGAATGGTATGAAACGGCATGTAATTTTTTCTTACTTCTGGTGTTGGTTTTTGATGCCTAGAAGATCAGTAGTTAAGTTTCACATAAATAGATTAAAAAATCGAACAATGCTTAAAAAAGAGAAATTTCATGTTAGATGATGCTATTAACAATCATGCATGGGTAACAACAGAAATTTCGTTGTTTTTCCAGCTGTCTGTGTATGTATGAATGTATCTGTAAACTATAATAAAGAACTTCAAAAAAAAAAAGAAGAAGCTGTCTATGTGTGAGGGGCTTCTACGTTGTTTGCCTCCCCTTCAGAATCATAGTATAATTATTAAAGGATTAAAGGACTCGGGTATCCCTCAACCCTTGTTGAAAACATAAAAAAAATGATTCTTCTTAAAACCCATCGATTGTTACTGTCAATCTTGTGATCAATAGTTTCAAACTGCTCAAGAAATGAATAACAAACGAAAGCACATAAAAATATTTGGAGGCCAAAAAGAAATTATGAATCATAAGGTGTTATCAAAAATTTAGCTAAAGGTCTTTCATAAACCACATTATAAAAATTGGCAACCGAGGGAAGAAGTCGAGTAAGTGAAACAGTTTGTTGTTTGAAGTTTGAGTGGCCTTTATAACAAGCCCAAGTCGTTTGAATTATCTTAAATATATACCAATGTTTCTACTCACACAATGAATCAATCTGGTTTCTCTGTCCTTCAGCTGCCAATTTTGTAATTCATGTAATTTCAACAATTTCACTGTGTATCCAGTCAATCAACTCAACTTTAAATTACCTGAAACTGAATTTACATAAACATTGGGGCTGGTACCCTTCCGTTTAACTTGATCCAAACAAGGGAAAGATTAGCTTAATTTAGTGTCTTAAAAAAAGCACCAAAACAGCTATTATTGGTTCTCAAACTGTGGCATGCGGACCTCTTGGTAGTGTATGGAAACTTCCAGGAGGGTATGCAGAACCAGAAAAATGAAAGGGAGGAGAAATTAAAGTGAATAAGTGAGGCAAGAAAAGAAAAGAAAACAAAACAAAACAAAAGGAAGAGAGCACAACCTCGAAAATGTATCCAAGCAATATTTAAAATACTCTTCGGTTTACATTTTTAATTCTCCATCAAAACCAGCAGATAATGTATTACCTACTCTTTTTCTTATTTTTTATTTTTTGTGTGTGTGTGTGATTTACCTTTTGCATATACTCCCTTTAAAATTAATTAATGTCGAATCCTGTAGTAAAACTGGCAAAGCAGAAGAAAAAGTCCAATTCAAGTTTTCTCAAAAACTTTTTTTGAATTCTGTACGGATTTGTGGGCAAAAAAGTGCGGCCGAGTTAACACAACCTGCCCAACCCTTACGCAAAGCAAAGACGAACCTTGTGATAAAACTTGCACAAATGAAAATCGCACTTGCCAACATACCTTCCAAAATACCGTTCAAAAGTATAAAAAATTCTATCAAAATATTCTTCAGAAAGTTCATCATGCCTGAAAATACAAATAATAAAGAATATTTATTCACCCGTCTATTTAATGTATTTTTGTATGAATAAATTAAGCTGTATCATTTTTGATACCCAATTAAAGTTTGCCTATAGCTTCAGCAAATTACTTGTTGGATTTTGGTTGTTTTGTGGCTCTAAATCTTGACAAAGTAAATTCGTCCAGGATTGCATAATAATTTGTTCTGCCGTATTAAATTCTAAATAAAGTCATAGGAAATAAAATATATCCCTCCTCTTAGATCCACTCATTGTGTTCCTAGAATTTTTTTCGTTTTTATCTATTTATTCTGAGTTTTGTCTATTAACATCCTCAAAACCAATTTTGCAACACTCATTGGAAATTTTTAAAACGGTTGCAATCAAGAACACAGCTAAAAAGTTTTCTTGCAAGAATCTTGATTAAAATTTGCATTAAGGTAGAATTTCTTTACTTTCTTAAAATCTTCCTTTTTGAGGCAGCCACCATGATTTGAATGGTCCTTAGCTGGTCGCCAGCAAGGGAACCTTAGTTACATTAGTTGATTTTCGAAAACGTAAATCCTGCATAGTTAATGGTAATCACTTGGGTGTAGATTGTATCCTTTAGTAGACCTGTTTTGTCGGCTTGCACACTCCCCCTGCCCCAGCACAACTGATCCAGAGTCGCGCTGAGTGTGCAAGCCAGCAAAACGTGTCTGCATAAGTATAAAAGAAATCTTCCTACAAATGAGCACGACCCTAGTAAAAGTGAGTCAACCTGACGTCAGGCCGATTCACTTTTACTAGGGTAGTAGCCATACATGATTAACGTTTTGCAACCCTTGATATGCAGGTTTCCGAATTTTCTTCTCCAAATATTCTTGTCATTTATGTTAAAGCACTTATTTTAAAAACGTCAACATAAATCAAATAAAAATGGGGGGGGGGGAGGATGCTGCCACCTCGAAAACAAGAACTCCGTAACTACTGGATCAGCCATAAGTCTGATCGTAGTCACCTCTACCTATGATTGATATTAAATTATAAAGGTTTTGATCAATGTTTGAAAGCGGTAAAAATCTGTGATTTGGATACTTGTCTTAATTTGCATTCCAGAATCTATCATTTTATAATCGCCCCAGTTTTATGAAGTCTCTTTCCTATAAATTGAGGACTTGATAACGGATACATGGCCCTTTTACTGCCGCTATGATTGTGTATCTTTTTCTAAGTTACTACTTGAATTGTATGTTATTTTTTAACATAAATTTTCGGCAAAATTTGGAGAACATCTCCTAAAAATTACTTAACACTTAGAGGATTTTCCAATAGTTTACATAGTCTTAGCAGCATTGCAAAGGGTTTGTGTTGTTATTAAAAGTAAATCAATCGGTAACTGAATCAATTAAGGCACAATGATTGAATTTGGATCCAATGCAAAATTTCTGCACCTGAAGTTTAAGAATCTTAGGCAATTAATTGGCATAGGCATGTGCAACTTACAGAGACTGGTGGTGGAAGCATAATATCAGAGACAAAATTGTGGCGAACATCAGGAAAGAAAGAATCGGTGAGATGAGCATAGTGAAAAACTCAGCGGTGAAGTTCCGCACCGGTATGGATTTGATTTCTAGTGCATCCCATCGCAATTGTTGCCCCCATTCCAGTGGTGGTGGCTCGGTTTTTGGTTTAGCTGCTACATAATTCTAAACCCAAAAATTTGTAAAACGTGATTCCTGAACTCCATATTCAGTAATCTTACATTCAGTGAACATTTTAATCGTTTTAACTGTAGTAGTTCAATTATTTTTTATGAAATGTAAGCAAAAGCAATGAATCCAAGGCTAAGTAGAATGCTTCATTTTCTCCCCGATACATGACATATATAAGTAGCAACTTGATTAATCTTGTATTTACTCTCATCTAGATATTGACACTCCAATACATTGGAGCCAAAATAAAACTGACTTGACTAGAGAGGGAAGTCTAACGAGATCATTGTTCGTGCATCTAGCTCTTTAAATTCTCGAAAGTTTCTATAAACTATCCATCATAGAATAAAGCTAGTCGTTTACTAATAAAAAAAAGAGAAAGATGTATTCATTACCAGCCGGAAAGCACACCAATCCATGTAGAAATCATTGCTCCTGAAATATCGCTCGACAGATGTTCGTTTGAAATCACAAAACATTAATTTCCAAAGTGGCTTTACTTCCTGTTCCAAAGCCAACAGTGCTGGCGAAAATTCTTGCTCACTCCCTATACGCACGACAACTCTGAAGAATATATATAATATATATATAATAACCAATCATCTGATGTAAAAATAAGCTCCAAATGGAGTTGTAGGCAATCTTAATTCAGCGCTAACATTACTTGCCTACTCATCATGAGTCATTATAGAAGGGCTTGGAGGTAAATTTGTGAAAGAGACAAAAGACATTCGCACAAGCATTCCTCAAACTTATTCAGAAATAAGAATTTAATGATGCCATTTGATCTTATAAAAGGAGAATTGATGATCAGTAGACCTTTGGACACTGTATGAATGGAAAAACTATAAAACATTTTTTCACTTCATTTCGGGAGTCTGAAAATCAACTCCTCAACGACATATAAGTGTTTTATGAACGATGGATGAATGTCAGTCGGAATGGCAAAAGTGAGTCATTTGTGTAATTCAACTTCCATTTATTCTGTGGTAATAACACTTGTAAACCCGCTATGCCATGAAGTAATTTCCGGTGTCGGATTCTGGGGGTCACATCCATGCTGTAGCTTTCGTAGAAACATCGAGTCCCAAATTTTTTCCACTGAATTTCAATAAAAGAAAACATCCATAAAAATTTGCAACGTTATGCCACAGAGAAGCAATTAAATTTTTACCAAACAAAAAAATTTGTCGTTATGGATAAGTATCACTATGCCTTGGAAGGTTACCTAATATCTCGTTTATGAGTTGATTTTCGAACTTTCCACAATGTGAATTGTTTATCATGAAAAATTTGGAAGGATAAGCGTGCAATATTTTTTCCTCGTTACAACTCTGACTAGTGTCCTATTCAGTGGTTTCCTCCAACCTTATATTGTGGTGGTTTCCAGGATCTTCCAGCGAAAGATTCTGGAAACCCCATCAAATACCCTTCCACCAACTTTGGTAGAAAGCTCAGCATTTGCACGGGTGTAATGCCTGCACGACCCACTTTCAGCCTGCCTCTGGCTTGCCGTGCGTCGCCCGAACATACCACCCACGACGCACTGGAGCTTTCCACCAAAGTTGGTTGGAGGGTGTTTAATGGGGTTTTCAGAATCTTTCGCTGAAAGATCCTGGAAACCACCACAATATTCAGTTAAGTGATCAAAAATTTGACCCTAGTTTATTATTGCATAAAGCTATCCAATTGTTTTAGCTGAAGCTGACGCATATTTTTCAGATGCTGCAACTCAAGTTGTTGATGGTTAAACTGGTAAAACACCACTATTTTTACTAAATGCTGATTTCCTGTGTCAATTTCCTTATTCAAAGGATAACCAACAGATCATCAGGATGACCATTGGACTGCATTTTGCAATTTGGAGCTATAAATTATGGCTCTTCTAAAAAAACACTCATGTGCACATGGAAACTATAATGGCACATACGTTGTTTTCAAACCGGGCTAGAACTTATCGTTCCAAATTGCAAAATGTAGTCCCATTCATCCTCATCGTATTTTTTGAAAATTGTATAAATTTTCTGTGGCTTTTGTAGAATATTTACCCAAAAAGAAAAAAAAAAGGTGCAAAAATTCTTAAACATAGGGACCGAGATACGGTTGAAATACCTAGATGATTGAGTTATCTTGTAGTTTTACCACCAATTAGAATTATTTGCTCCAAAGAGAGGAATTTTTCCATGCATTGTTGGAGATAATATCTTACCCTTCAGACTCATCTGGTTTTAGTGGCAGTCTAGCACCAAGGTCAACCGCGGAAGCCAGAAAAGTTATATAGAGATTTTTCTCCGACTTGGGCCAAAGCTTAGTCTGAAATATGTGTAGTAATGATTTCAGCCTTGCAGAATTCATTATGTCCTCAATATTAAAGTTGTTGATTTTAACTTGGACCTCGTACAGTGCTTTCTCTGCAAAAAGAGTAAGAGAAAATTGTGTCAATTTTTCATTCAGTGAACATGTTTTGTTTCATTTTCAGACCAATCTCTGTCGAATAAGCTCCATATTCATGTAACTTGGAGGTATGGTCAAAAATTCTAAAAAGTCGAAGCTTTACATCTCTACGTATTTCAAACATTACTTGTTCATTCCTGACAGTTCTATGATTTTTATTATATTAGCAGGATTACTAACTAGCAGAGAGGCACACCTAATTTGTTTATTTATTTGTACATGGAGCCTCTTCTGTTAAGGGCTAAGATACACTTCAGTATAAATACATTTCAGCTATTTACATATAACTACAGTACATGTTTGTACTTACTTAAAAATTTGAACAGAATTTGTGAGCCTATTAAAATTTTCCATACAGAGTTGTTCATGATATAGATAGAAATTTTACATTAAATGAAATGTTTTTCTTTCAGAACATACCTACTCTAAAAACTCCTTCGTAGCATAAAATGGGTTTTCCTTGAGATGTTGTTTCAGGTTATTTAAAAAGTGCTGAGGAGGCTGGTTGGTTTTTGTTATACTCTTTATTTCATTCGGGAGCCTATTATAAAGTTTTTTCCCTCTGTATTGTGGTATTACTAGCAGTATCCTCTTTTGTTATGGTTAAAAAATTGTGTCTGGTGTTATGGCTGCATGCTCGCTGTTTGTACTTTTGGCAGTTATGAGATTCTGTCTGATTGATGCTTTGAAGGTTTCATAGATGTTTAGCAAGCACACTGTTAAGATACTATATTTAATAAAAAGTGGACGACAGTGAAAACTACTTGATTTGTTGTCTATAATTCTGAGACATGTTTTTAGTGCCTTCAGTATTTCATCCACCCCTGTGGAGTAGCCCCAGAGATAGATTCCACTACTGGATAACCGAGTAGATACTTGCATAGTAATATCTCATCATTACATTTGAGTTTACCTCTCTCTTTATTTTTCTAAGCAGCCAGATCCATGACAGTTGCATTTGCATTGTCGTTCAGTTGCATTACCTACCTATTGCTTTGTAGGTCTCACAAATAGGACTGAATTGACATTGATAGTAGAAGCTGTACAGTCACAATTTTCTTCAACAGAAAGTTCAATTTTTTTTTGGTTGGTTCTTAGCTGATTGCCATGAATTCAAAAAAATTATTACATTTATTTAAAGTAAAAAATGAAAAAAAGACGTCTACCGATTAAGGTGCAAAAGAGCTCTCAAAGATAATTTATTTGAACTACGGTGATTGATGTGTTGCCTGATATATCAATCATCAATCATCTGGTCCTTAATTTTTATTGCAAGAAGTCTCACAAGATGATAGAAATTGAGAAGAGTCTGGTTAAAAACATACCATTTTTCTCTAACACGTTGAGTCGAATACCATGATATCGAGGGGTGTAAGAGCTGTAGTTTAATCCCACGAGTTCGAGCTGTCCAAAAAAAATTTATTATTGCTGGAAATCATCTTGAGCTTAGATATACTTTAATGAGGGGCAAGTTAGAGGTACTTTCATCTTTCCTCCAAATCCACGAAACTAAATCGTGAAAAATCTAAAACTTTAAATAGTATATTTATATTATGCTTACACTTTTTTCACAGAAAAAATTTCAATTTCTAACAAGTGTCGGGCAGTTAAGTAAAGCTTGTTACTGGTGTTTCAGGGAAGGAGTAATGAGGGGAAGCCTGAAATCTAAGTGATCAAGGAACATTTTAGTGTGCAGTCTAATAACCAGGGTCCAGGGGTTTCTCCTAAAAATTGCACACATATTAACCATTTTGAGACAATGCATGGTTGAGAAAATTTACTATTTGATCTACAGTTTTAAATAATCTGAAGAAATTCAAAGTAGGAATGAAGAAAATTGAATCAGAAATCCAGTGAAGCACTCCTTTAAATGGAAATTATCACAGTCAAAATCTTGCTTGGTACACAATTTGCATGCTTATGGTGCGCAAACATAGGCCTAAATGGTTAAATGCTTGGTGCTCCATTTTCTATTTTTTCTTGTATCTTTACCATCAATTGTTACTGTTGGAGAAAGAAACAGTAACTATCTCATTCCCTGACTTCTGTCAAGGATTAGTTAAAAAATGTGTCTAAATTCAAGAGGAGTAAAATTTTCAAGAGATTGCAATCCAAGCTGAATCATCACTATCCCTTCCAAAATCAGCCATTTGAACCTTTAATTAACTAATTTTTAGTAATTATAAGCATTTTTGAAAACTTTTTCCATCCAACCAAGAAATTGTATTTAATTCACACCAATACTCATCCATGCCAAGCATCTCAGTCCACGGGCACCTCCTCTTTCTGGTCAGCTCTCTGATCTTGAAACACTTATGCAGTTATTTATCGAGTTTGTACCCTTCACGCTTTTTTGAAGCGAGTGTATCGTATGTTGTGAGCGTTCTTAATGTCTAATAGAACTTTAACTGACACAAGAATTAGCCTGTTGTATAAAAAAACAACACTGTCTCTTACATCAATGCTGCTTTGACCTGGTGGAGCGACTCCATAAAGAAACCCTGTTTTGTGCCTCGGGCTAAATTTATAGTGGATCCACGTTGGCAAGTCAGGAGCATCTTTCAAGGAAACTTGAAATCTAAATTCATCTGAACCTTTTAAGAAAAAAAAAAAAATAACAGATGTAGCTATAATGAACTCAATCATCCTATCAGTGACAAATAATTTTCCTTTAACTTTTTGTATCACAGTATCCCTATACGGCAACCAGGCTAACATTCTTGAGCTCCTTTCTCAACTTTGCTGTAGATGCTGTCCACAATTTCCATCATTTTCAAAAGAAATTGGAGCACCTATATAATACTTCTAGTTACGGAACTAATTGTGAGAACATCTCAAGTAAAATCCTGAAAAATGACTGGCTATCGGACTTTTGTCAAAGGAGGCCAACCGAGCATCGTAAGGTTTTCTTGGGCTTATCTGATAGCTGACAAATCGACAAAAATTGCTATTATTATGGAAAGTAAAAATTCGTATTGGTTTGGACACTACCTACCTTGGAAAAAAGGAAAGTCAAACACAAAGTTGTGAATTCTGTCTTTATTTAAAAAAAAAAAAATTAGATAAGTACAACTTAGATTTTAAGTAAAAAAATAAAGTTGCTCTCTAATTCAAATGCTTAAAAATAAGGAATTAAACATCTCAAGCAGCTTACAGAGTCATAACCCATCCCCGTCAAAATACTCCCCAGCTTTGTGGATGCATTTTTGCCACCGTTTCCTCAAGTGGAAGAAACACTGTTTAAATTCATCAGGTTCGGATGACCGCAATTGCTTGAATTTTTACCGACAGGAGAAACTGTTAACTGCAAATATTACAATGGTGTTCTGAGATGATTATGCAAAAATGTCCGCAGGAAAAGGCCAGGGCTTTGGAGAAAAAATTCCTGGTTTCTGTATCACCATCATGCACCTGTCCATGCATTACTTCAAATTCGCAAATTTTTTGCAAAGAATGCCAGTGCCCTCCCTCTCCCCCTTATTCATTTGACCTTGCTCCTTGTGATTTGTCTTATTTCCACCACTGAAATCTACCTTGAAAGTTCGACATTTTCAGACCATTCTAGAAATTCAAAAAAACTCTTTGAAGTAATTGCAGTCATTCAAACCCGAGGAATTTTAACAGCGCTTTCCCCACTTGAAGAAACGGTGGCAAAAATGCATCGACAAAGCTGGAGAGTATTTTGAAGGGGATGGAGTATGACTCGGTTAGCTGCTTGAAATGTTAATTTCTTTATTTTTAAGCATTTGAATAAGAAAGCAACCTTATTTTTTTCTTAAGTTGTATCTAAAAATTGTTTTTAAATAAATAAGGCAGAATTCGAAACTTGTGTTTGACTTTCCTTTATTCCAAAGCATGATGTGTCCGAACCAATACGAATTTTTACATTCCGTAAAAATAGCAATTTTTGTCGAATTGTCAGCTATCAGATAAGCCCAAGAAAACCTTATGATGCTCGGTCAGCCTCCTATGACAAAAGTCTGGTTTCTTTTGGGACAGCCCTTGTATCATCATTGGAAGACCGTGTTTAGTAGACACTAACTCTAATACTTCACAAGAAGTCCCCTCAAATGTAAACAGTTTTTAGAGGAAAAGGTAAATATAGTTAGGTAATTGACTCAATTTTCAATTCAAAATTGATTTTCATCGCACTTCAGTAATATGAAATTAAATTACAAACATTGCTTACCTTCATTATCCCATCCAAAAAAAGATGGCTTAATGTGCTTAATGAAAACTTCTGTTGTGTGGATGTTCTCTTTTTCAAAATCATGTGCTTGCGATTGTGACACACCAATGAGCTGCAGCAAACTAACACTCAAAATTCCAAAAAATAGTCCTGGTTTATAGTTCAACGTCCACATCATGACAAGATACCTAATACTTCTCAAGTTCCTTGTTCCTTTCACTCCTGTATCCTAATAAAAACATCAGGAGATTTAAAAACAAACATACAAGACAGGAAAAGTAAGTAATACTTATGGTCTATCAATCGATTATGAGTGGGTCATGTTCCAGATAATGGCTATGAGCCTAACGCGTCACTTTTAACATAAAGTCAACAAATCAGACACGTGAGTAAATTTCAAACACCTATTTTCGAATCGTCATTCATAGAAAAGTTTGATATTTTTTCAGAAATAATCAGGTCATAATATGATATTTTTTGTTTTGAAATGAGCCATTCATGGTTTAATTAACAAGGAACTTATTGATCAACCGTCCTTACCTATATAGGAAAGTACGTAGGTACCTAATTACTTTTTTGTTAAAAATTTTCTGTTTGGAAGCTGCCAAATCTTCTTCTATTTACTCTTAAAAATTATGTTGCTCTCTTTTCAATGTTACAATAGAATGGCCTTAGAATGAAGTGTCTGGCTGATGATTTAGACCTTATTCACGGTGAAACTACTAGACAAGGAACATCAAGTAGGTACGTCAGTTTACACCTGTCGTAGATTTCGTATTCTGTTTTACCTTATTGAAAGGACTGGTCATCATAATTGGGAACTTTAATGTGTGATTTTTCTATGCACTTTCAGGAACACTCTAAAAATTGTATGCAAAAATGTCCAGCAACGCAAACGAAAGAAGTGAGAATTCTGAAACACCGCAATCCAGAACCGTTCTTTCTCAGTTTCATCATACCTATTTATGTCGAGCTCTCAATTCAAAAGCCTTGTCAGAAATACCATTCACTTCTGATATATTGATACGTATGAGCAGTTCGAACACAAAATGAAGTGAGATTAGGCTAGATTAGTAATTTTACGCCTTTTCATTCTTAGGATCAATCTGTGATGCCCTCAGGAACCTACAAGCAATTTTGAAACAATTTTCATTAACTACTGACCTGCTTTTTTGTGTAAAAGAGACATACTCCCACTCAACTTCACTCAGTATGTACCTCAAGGCAAAATTGGCCATGTAATGCAAGGTAGGGAATGGAACAAGAACAAGACGGCAAGACGGTGCTCAAGGTACCTTGGACGGTGCTGGGTCTCAACCGCGCATGATTGAATTGAAAACATGTTCACGCGCGCGCGCTGATTTGAGGTGGAGCGTGGAGCGCATGCGCTGAGTCAAGACCAATCAACACAGGACAGTCATTCCCGAGGACGAGTTTTAGAACTCTACTGCGCAGTGACGTAGTATTGAGTGCCTGCAATGTATTTCTTATGGGAGCACCCATTGTGACGTAGCATTGAGTGGCGCCGAGCTTCGGCCGGGCGGGGGAGTGGATTTCAAAAAGCTGCGCAATGACTGACCTGCGTGGATTGGTTTTGGGCTGAGTATTGACGTCATGACGACGACGCGACGCGACCATGGACCAAGAGAAGAAACAAGTCGGTCATTTTGAGTTCACGAATGACGTTTCCAATGCTCATGCTGGGCATTGGATGTTCTCCCAGTAAAGTGTAAAGTCTCCAAATACGTACTTCACTTCAAATTAATTTTTTTAAATTATAAGGGTTCGAAAAAACGAATGATCATTTAGGTATTCCTTTGTAACCAACACAGTCCTTTTCTTTGATTATTGTCCCAGTTTGATTTTTGTTGCCATCTTGAAGTTTTGTGACGTCAGGCGGGTACCACTTTTGCCAGGCGACTACCGAATCTGTAGCGCGCATTTCAAATCTTCGCCTGCTCTCAACAAGATTAGAACAAGATGAGGACGAGAAGCATTGTTTGATAAGTGAGATGACGATGAGATATAAATTAGATATAAATGATCCGTCACATTCCTTCCTAGAAATGTGCCTGTTCCAGCTGAATTTAGTTTTTTATTTCTGAATGATGAAAGAATCTCAAAGGATCGAAATATGACTAATTACAAGCTCTGTAGCTTGCAAGATAACGCCCTTACCTGAGTTATGAATTTTTCCAGTATCGTTGAAATATAAGTAGAGTACCTAGTAGCGGCACCCAGTGTCACAGTATGTCATACCTATTTGATGTACCTAGGTAATTCTCATCCAAATAAGAGAAGAATAAATATTTACCTTCATTAACACCAAGTAGACGAAAGTTCCACTGTGAACTTAGTTGGCCAATAAAAATGCAAACAATGAAGCAATAATTTTTATTTCCTGACTACAAATGGTAAGAATTATGGTAAGAACTCTAAGGCATGGTAAAAACTGTATTTATCATTCCTCAATAAATACAAGGTTGACTGTTTGCATGGAAATGATAGTACATTAGTTGGCGGCTTATCTATTATTCTAAACTTTAGATTAAGTTGATGAAGGTAGCAGGTTGTTGTCAGCAAGAGCTGTTGATATGAGTATGTAGTTTAGAATGGTCAATTTTTAATTCTGCCAGAGGAGCATCATTAGTATTTAATACAAAACTCTCAGAGGTCTCTGGATACTATGCCACCTCTTATCAAGAATGTTTATGCTAATTTTGTTGCTATGTGGTGATGGGAGAGATAATTTCAAGATTATTTTGGTAAAAGTCGGACAAATATGAGGATGCCAAGTTTATAAGAAAATCTCACAAACCAAAGTGAACATTGTTTCATGCCTCTGCAATTTTCAGCTTCGGGCTAGGTTCTCGCAAGAAGGCCAGCACAACGCGCTGATCAAACTTTTGTGGAATTTCTTGTTAATTTTAGAATGTGTGCCAAAGTGCGTCACAGTAAGTATTCCACAAAAATTGCAAATCTGAAAAATCTAGAAAAATAACAAGTACCTCTCAGCCTCCGCGCAATTCGCATCCCTGCTAATAAATGTTGGAGAATAGAGAACACTTTACCCTCAAAACATTACTCGCACTGATTTTAAACTAATATGTAATTATATGTGTACGATGGTGGATCTGAGCTGTACTTACTTACCAAACTTTGTTGAGCGAAGTTGTTACTTAGGGGAAATTCATTAACTGCTGCCAAGGATTCACAAACTCTGACCTTGATAAATATTTCTGACATATACTTGAGATACAGTCAGATGTTTGGAATTCTGGACATTCAGTTATTGTTCACATACAAAAGAAATTGACTAACAAATACAACCGTTTTATATTTACATAACTGCTCAACAGAACATACCGACAGTTGTGATTAGTTTCTCGACAGCACTCTGATAGCGGTAGGATAGCTAAAGGATCCCTACCCTGCGGCAAAAATGGAGTTTATTGAAATTTTGATTCACATGGTGCTAATGCTGTCAAGACTCAAGACAAAATTACACTCCACGCACAGTCAAAGAGTATTTTGATAAGTAAGATTATCCATTAAGGAAGTTGCACAAATCACAAATCAAACCGAAGGACACGGACAAACCAAGGAGCCAGCCATAGCCAGCTCAGAAACTCGGCAATTCAGTTTCTCTCACTGCAAAAGGTGGAACCATCCAAAGTACCATCAATGTTAAGTTGAAGGGGTGAATTACTTATTTAAAGAGTGCTAAGTCATTTTGGGACTTTTTCGAAGAGATTTAAAGGAAAACATTGGAAAATGCTCAACTATAAAATGAGCGTAAACAATCCGCCATTGTATCAAAGCGAAAGCTGACGCACAAATGAAACAAGCGCTAAACACAAGGGTAAAAAGTACATACGTAAATTGATTTTGTTTTATAAGGAAAATGGTGAAAAAGTTAGGAAATTCATATTGGAAATTGAAGCTTTAAGATATAAAGAACTTCAGATAATTAATACAGTTTATTTAGAAACGGAGTTAAAGAAGGCAAAGTTAAGGAAACTCAGAAGGAACAGGGTATTTTGTAGGAAAGGGTTGGTAGGTCTAGAATTGAATCGACGTATCGACGTATCGAACAGCGACTATCGGTAGTCTCGAAAAACCCCTGTAAAATACGCACTAATACGATAAGCGGTTACATCAGATCTTATGGGAGCGCACTCACACATACAAAAAATCGCTTTTTCAAGCGATTTTTTACAAGAGAACAGAGGAAAATCTCACTAGCGATCGAGATTTTTCGAGATTTTACATTGATTAAACGGCCCAGGGTGAAAGGAAAGTTCTCTCCAGTTGATCACTGGGAGAACAATAAGGACCTCCAACTCCAGTTAGCGCTGACATCAGCGCTGCCTGGCAAAGGGTGTAGTGAACTAAACCGACGATTGAGTCCTCCTGTTTATATTTCCATGCACCATCTATTTAGGCTTATCACTAAATGCTCATAGCTAGATCCTCGTATCCTCGTGGTTGTCCTGCAGTTTTGAAGAGTTTAGTGTGAAAAGCAGGGCCGGATTTACCATGGATTTACCTATGGTGCATCGGTGCAGCTGCACAGGGCGCCTGATTTTGAGGGGCGCCAAATTTTGGGGTTTTTTTTTTTTCCAAACTCTGCAAAATTACATCAGGGAACTATTGATTTACTTATTGCGTTCCATATTTTAAAGGACCTGACCCTAGACTTCAAGGGTCAAACTTTCTCTTAGTTTAGTAGTTAACAGTAACAGGAACGGGCACCTGGTTTTGGTTTCTGCCCCAGAATCATTCACTCACTCGAAAAAATTCGTATTTAGTTAGAGTTAGCACGTAGAACCAAAGAGGACCGTCGGGTTGGGAAATGCGCGGGCGGGGAGGGGAGGACGTGAGGGGGGCGCCTCGAAAATTTCTGCACAGGGCGCCAAAAACGTAAATCCGGCCCTGGTTAGGTTAAGTTATCCTGGTATCCGGCCAAAGTATGGTTATTTTGACTCCTGGGACCTTAAAACGTCTAGAAATGATGAAATGTCAACTTTTTTTTTTTTTCTTGGAGGATGACAAAACTTCCTCTCTACCCTAGGGGAGCGAGAAAGTAAAAATAGATCAACGTAATTTTTTGAGATGTTGCTCAAAATACTCTCCAGATTCAAAATATGTTTAGTTTTAAGCCACAAACTAGGTACCACAAATCGACGGAATCGTCATTTTTGTGACCTCAAGTCAGGGCTCAGGCGCGCTCTGAGCGGCATATTCGGCTTATGATCATGTCTTTAAACATAGATTAAAAACAATATATCAAAACTAGCGACCCTTAACGTGCTTCGCACGTAGCAGTTTATACAGACTGAATGACAGGAGAAAAAATACGATGATTTTCGGATTCAGCTGCCAAAATTACACAAGAACCATTTATCGCATGATGCTTACCTATTCAAGTTTCCTCTCTGTTCCTATACCATAAATATTTTTTCGGACAAGAGCTCCTTTCCGCCTTTATAACGCCGTGTAAAACTCATCCGATTTTTATTCGTCGGAGAAGAGATGAAAATTTTATTTTTCACACAACAAGTGGAGTTACCTATTCCCACTCAATTCTTGTCGCTGCAGCCGAAAATGATCCTCGTCCTCTTCCAATTAAAACCTTCGGAAAAATCAACATCCCAAAAAGAGGGGATAGCGACTTTATCGGAGTTTTCAAAAAACGACAAATTATCCGATGGCGTCTCCGGACGCACGTGTCACCGAGGGTGCTCTGTGTGGTCCTACAAGAGGTATTATCGTCCTCCTGACACCAGGAAAATTTATTTTTACCCCACCCCCGGGTTTTTTTCCCGGGCCTCGCCCACGAACACAAAGTCCCTGGGCAAAATTCGAGGAAAATATCCCCGTTTGGGATATTTCCCGCTTAGTCGGAAAATCATCCCCCGGATTTCCAAAAGGTGCCCCCCCCCCCCAACTCGTCGCTACGACCTCGGAGGCTCCAGGCCCACCCCCTTCTATAAATATCGCGGGACTTACATACGGGAGGAGCGGCCAGACATTATGGACGCGAGGAATAATTTCTCCCTTAATTTTCGGGACGGGGGTTTTTCGAGGGGGGGTATTCCGGGGGTGGTATCTGCATACCTACCTTATGGCGATAAAAAATTCCCCGAGCCGCCCCTCTTCCCCCTAGGGGCGAATTTTAAAAAATAGCGTAAGTTCCGTCACCGAGGAGGTATACATGTCTGCGCGTATACGCGGTGGGATCCGATCACAACAGATGTAGATATCCTGCCCGGAATTTTTCCCTCGAGAAACAACAGCTCCGAAATTTAACGGAGAAATTACCCCTCGCG